GTCTTGTGGATGGTTTTATACGGTTTATGGTGATACTTGTCATGTACCTATTATTATTAGTGTTTGATAATTAATAAGGGAATGGATATTTTAATTGGAAAGAAGGTATAGGTATTAACTATGCTATAAGCACACTACGCTTTCTATATCCCTATATCCCTATCTAGGCCTAAATCTTTAAATATACGCAACGGATGCTAATGCAGTTTTAATAGATAGCGTGATTGAAGAGGGAGACTTATGTGTATAATAACATAATTATATTAATAGTGGAGAAATTTAGTACCAGCATTGCACCCTTGCGGAGCTGGGTCGAGTTGTTAGTAATAAATAAATTCAATTTGTAGACCATTAAGTTTGGATCATAGTATAAGACACCCACAAAAATACATAGACGAGCGATACCTTTACTTACAACCACATATTTAAAACTATCGATATATATCTAATCGATACGTCTCCACAGCACTAACAAGAAGCTTCCACTCTGCAAATCGAAGCTGTGCGATTGAAATCAGGCGCTTGGTAAATAACGTCTTGTGAAGTAATACTTTCTCATGAGATTGCTAATCTCAAGCCTTCGTTTGACGAGAATCTTGCATAGGTGCTCCTTATTTATTCTCAGCAAATGATCCCCTATACGTTCTAGTAAATTACTTTATTTGATCGCTATTTGTTTTTTCGAAACGACGACTCAAGTTTTTGCTTTGAATTCGTGGATCTTGCGGATTTGATGTTTGCTTTCGATTTTGGCTGATGATGTTTCTAATGTTTAAATTTGGAATAGAGTTTTACGTTTGGTTTTGCTTGTTATTGCTTTTTTTAGTTCATAATTTTTTTTCCTAAACATACAAGCATGTGTGTATTTGCACTGAATAATAAATTTTAGGGTCGTTTACACAATAACATACGTATTGTTTACTTAATACTACGCAAGTAGATAATTGTTTTAATTAATTGTATGCAACAGGCAAGAAACTTGCATTGTGTAAATGGGTTTTAATTATATATATTTGTTGCCATTTTTTTCCAACGTTTTCTTTTAGATCGGGTTTGAATACTTCATGACGTCAGAAATTACTTATTCGACTTTTGGACTAAACGATGACGTATGTATGAACATATTAATATATTATAAAATATTTTTGTACCTATACATATAGCACAAAAGACCACAAATATTATAAGTATATGTGATTTGAAACGAATATAGAAGTACCAAAAATTGTATGTAAATAAATGTATTGCAAAAATTATTTGGGATATTAATTTTGTATTTGTTTATTTGGATCTCAATTATACGAAAAGTGAAATTCATAAAGAACATATAGGTATTTCACTAATATAGATAACAATTTATTTACAAGTGTGGGCGAGCCATGTTTCGCCACGAATGGGTCGGCTCAACCTGAGTTATCACTCAGAACGGCCTCACAGAAAACCGGTGAGAAACAACAACAGCGTTGTGTTTCGCGATGTGAGTGAGGTTACCGGAGGCCCAATCCTTCCCTTCCTTAATCCTCAAATCTCCAAAAACCGCATACCCCCAAAAAAGGTCGGCAACGCATTCGTAACTTTTCCGATGTTGCGAGTGTCTCGACCTATCACATAAGAAAAAAAGATAAATTTTAAAGAGACTGTATTATAACTGGAATATTTACCATTAATGACTTTTATATTATTTGGAGGTATGGAGGCAAAGCTAAGGAAAAATGACTGTCGGAAAAAAAGTAACTCGGTTTTCGGTATGGCAAGCACCATACGGCCATATTTTCTAAGAGTATTTGGACACTATTGATAAACGATGTAGGAAAATATCGACATGATACCTGAACATTATAGTTAAGTTAGTTAATTATAAGTTTAAAATCAGCAATCCGCCGTGAGCAAACAAGGTGAATAAAGCACAAACCTCAGCAGTGGACACTTATAGGATGATATTGATTTTTATTGAACGAAACTAGAGATTTTGGAGTACAACGGAGTTTTACTGAAAGTGCCTTTATGCATAGTTGAGCATTAAAAGAATCTGAAAATACTTTTTAATAAGGTGATGGTGATGGTTATGTCATAAACCTTATAAGGGACGGATGGTTCCCAATTAGTTTCCCAGTCTCGTCCACTCGACCACGCTTCAAAATTCGGTACAAAGCATTTTAAAACTATTCCAAACATTTAAAGCTTGCTGGTCCTTTCGTCCGCATTCCTTTGTATGCGTGTGACATTATCACTTACTCCATACTCTCTATACACACGCACACATAGAAACCAAGAGGAATTGCTTTAAGTTTAACTCAAAGGAGTATAATTTTGCACGTTTGTGGCTACGCTTTGTGCCTACGGGCCGCGGGACGATGTGTAGTGATGTGAGTAGCGTGCGGGATATTACGGGATTTGAAAGCTTGGGATGTGTTATGGATAGTTTGTCCGGCCTTTGAAGATGTACGTTCTATTATTTGAACGTATCTGATGTGTTTCGTTGCTTGCTTGTGTATCATTGTGCTGGATTGGAGTTGTGACTGAGTTGTTATTGGAACAGTAACTTTATTTTAGCTAGAAGTGTGTTTCATTAAACAAAGCTATCGGTAATACCAGTAGCTATCTCTCTAAACTTGGTGTTTTTACTGAGATTTTTTATTAAAAAAAAACGTTTATCATTAGGATTTTCTCCTGTGTCGTGGGTGCGCTTACAAACATACAATTTCACATACACATGACACCCAGACCCGGAACAACAATTTGTGGATCACACAAAGAGTTGTTCCGTGCGGGAATCGAACACGCAACACGTAGCGCGGCAGCCGGTTGCCCAGCCACCGCACCAACCGTGCAGTCATCAGTCAGTCATTTTAAAGTTAAAAGAACCGAAGACTAATTACCTTACTTAAAAACTATTGCTTTAACTTTTGTTCAATTTTCTTTAATGATATTTATTGGAGATAAGATAATGTGGGGAGGAAGAGGATTAGGTCTCTGGTAGCCTGACAAAACACAACGCCAGCGTTATTTCACGCTGGTTTTCTGTTACGCCGTGGCATCACTCCGGTCGAGCAGACCCATTCGTAAGCATGGCTCTCCCACACTTAAATTATAAGAACAACACAAAGCTTTGAATTCCACCAGGTGTACGCCTGTCCATCTACTAAATCAGAAACGATGCACAAAAATGTGACATTTTAATTAAAAAGTTAATCGAAATCGACTAATAACAACATCACTTAAAAGAAATCAATAGACTTGAAACGATTTCTAAGACATTATTTAGACATCGCAAGTGAGAAGTAAGTATCCCTACAAAACATCGATAAAAGAACATCACTAGTGAGGACACGTGACAACACTTACCCACTTGAGTCTAAATTAACACGAGATCTATCATGTAATGGACCTCATCCGGTTAACTGGTGATTGCACCACAGATTTCCTTGGAATATAGGCCAAATCTGAACCTTAATATAGTACATATAGTGGTTAGAATATCCGGGGTGACCCCGGGTGCAAGCGCAATAGTGTACCGCGGTCCTAGCTTGAAGCAGGAGAAGGAATGGGATGGTTTTTAGTCAGTAACAGTCAGATACCCTCTCTCTGGAGCGTCAGTCTCTAAGGCGGTAGAAGACATTAGATGAAATTCCTCCTCAAAAAAAAAAAAATATTATTTTTATTTATTTTTCCCGTAGTTTATTTCGTTTTAATTATTATTTTCGCATTAAAGCATGATAAATCGGAACTACGTGATAAGAACCTATTTTCATACATAACCGGAGTGAACGGTGAAACAACTAAACAGCGTTGTGTATCGCCGTGTGACTGAGGTTACCGGACGATCCCTAAATCTTCGAAACTTTAATCCCCAAAAGGGCGGCGCTGATTGCTTACCATCAGAAAATGTGTGTGCTAGTTTTATCATATAAAAAACACTTCTAAACGCCAACATTATACCAATATGCTGCCGGCATTTCCTATCAGGCTACGATGAGAAGAAATGCCGAATAGGTCAGATGGAATCCGATTGGAAATACGTCATTTTGGTGAACGGCAACAAAATAATAATAATATTTCGTACATAGGAATGTGACAATTCGAAAATTCTTCACAAAACCATTCAAAGGAGTGTATAAGCTTATTTTCTATTAAATAGTTGCCCTATATTAGAACATTATTTACAGTTTTTACAAAAATAAAAATTCAAACACACCCAGACTCCAATAAAAAAAAATAGTGGATCACACATCGTAGTGTTCCGTGCGGATATAAAACCTGCGACACTTTAAACAGCAGCCAGTTGCCCAGCCACTGTCATCATCATCAGCCTATAAGTGCCCACTGCTGAGCAAATGCCTCTTCTCACACGAAAAAAGTTTAGAGCATTGATCACCATGCTTGCTCAATGCGGGTTGGCGATTTTAAACTTATATTTAGAGATTATTTATAAGTCCAGGTTTCCTCACGATGTTTACCTTCACCGTATGTCAGTGGTGTCTAAATAATACTAGAAAGTACATATAACTCGGAAAAAGTCACATTGGTACTTGCCAGGTTTCGGACTCACACATGCATGAGAAGCGGGCATCTCAACCTCCAGGCCACCACGACTGCAGCCAGCCACAGTGCCAACCGTGTATTCAAAACTTTTTCCCTTCAGTATAAAATAGATGTGATATTATTTTTACGTTATCAATAATAAATAAATAAATAATGGTTATATGTATAGCGTTCTGTCGCCCCAGAGAGGCAGTAACACGTCCGTAAAATAAAATATACGTTACGATCCGAGACTGCAAAATAAGGACCGGGTCACCATGAAATTTTAATAGACATTGTATGTTCTTTCAAGAACAGAGCATGTAGTAAATGCATCTTTTTATTATGTTTTAATATAAACGCCGCATTGCATATGTATTAAGGCGAAACGAAAACAAATAATTATCGAAGTCAATTATTATGTTTGCGGCTTAATCACGTAATTGTTTGACGAAATACTCGACTAGTTTCAAGCCATACTAGAGGCCATGTCGCGGTATGATGCTATGCGGCATGATATATTCATGACCGACAGCATCATACCGCGACACGCGACGCGGCAACTGTCGCGCTGTTACTGAGTAACAACCGCAAACATATAATTAATTTAGTATGTTTCACGAAAGTTATAATAAAAACTATCAAAATCGTTAAAAAAACATTATCTTATTTGAAACTAGGGTTTAAGAATGATCATTTTACTGGATTAAATCAAATAAAATTAAGTTTACCTTTTTTTTGTCCAGGGTACAGAGGGAGTGTCAGACTCTTTCTGACTAAAACCGTTCCTTCTCTTGCTCTAGACCGACTCTTATTTTTGAATTATACTATAACGCGATATAGCGAAAAAATATTGCGAATTGCAGTACACAATTCAAATATACGCTATTAAATCAACAAAAACTTTTATCAATATTAGGGCAAATTTTTCAATAGTTAGATAAAAGTTACCTGGGGAATAATTATGATGCTGTCGCGTCAGAATGTTTGTATAAGACAGTGACAACAACAATTTTATTCCTCAGAAAACATTTATCTGATTATTGAAAAACCAGCCCTTAACCCAATCAAACAACGACACACAACCGAAACACACACATGCGCCAATAACTCGAAATCCCATACAGACTTCAAACGTCCATTCATAAATCTACATTACAATTAGAATCCCGCGCATATTTGCATGATGAGACCTACTAATCAGTCTAGCTGGACATTATTCCCACATTATGGCACGCTGATAGTCCAAAACTTGAATTTGAAATGCGTAGATCAGTTTCCATGATTTTGAAATAGTAATGACGATGGACCGAAATTAGTTGGCTAACTGTGATAGTGATTAACTGATGGTTTGGTGTGATTTAGATTGATGGTAGTGGCACTAATACTACTTATATTATACACGCTAAAGTATGTGAGTATGGATATACATATGTTACTTTTTCGCCTACAAATTACTGAACGGATGTGAATAAAGTTTTGCAAAAAGTCCGAAATAATACGTAAGCAGCCGGGGTTGTTGGTGTAAGTCTAATAATGTACCTATCGTGAATCCGACTCGCAGCAGGAGAAAGAAGACGGTGGATTTTAGTCAATAGGTATAAGTTTGAACCAATCTGACTATCAACCCAACCATGGTGAAATAAGTAATTTGACAAATTTCCTTCGACAAAAAAAGACTTTTTCTATGTAATTAGGTCGACAAACGAGCAGACGGATTACCTGATGGTAAGCAATCAGCGCCGCTAATGGACACCCGCAACGGAGGAGTTACGAGTGCGTTGCCGACCTTTTAGGAATTAGGAGATTTAGGGATTGAGGAGGGATTGGGGGAGGGGAAGAATTGGGCCTCCGGTAACCTCACTCACACGGCGAAACACAACGCTGTGGTTGTTTCACGCCAGTTTTCTGTGAGGCCGTGGTATCACTTCAGACTTATTCACACACTGTTAATATACGCTCTTAGCATGATTGCGGCCTATTAAAAAACTAGTTAATAATTCTTACATTATTTTTTGTTTCAAGTACGTTGATATTACACGAAATGATAATATAAGTAGATCGGTCAGACTTTTAAAAAGCAGTAAGTAGTATAATTAATTAATTTATACCTCGAACTATTTAGGTATATTATGTCAGTACAAGAAAACATACAAATATAGAGGAAAAGTATGATTATATTAAAGTTATATTTCATAATAAAGTAACAGAAAGCTAATTAGAAATTACTAGATACCATATTAAATAATATTTCAAAGGAGATTCAGCTTAAGCTAGATTTATTGATAATTTATAATTAAGAAGTAATAAATAAAGAGAACATGGTTCTCGGAATGATAAATATCTGTACCAACTAAACTTCCAGAATATAAAAATTAATCGCTAAATGTGTTGCCATTTTTTTTTTGTATTGAGGGGAGAAAATCATCGAATGACGTATCTCGCCCAGGGAACAAAAGAAGGAAGAAGAAGAAAGTTAAGAAGTCAAGAGTTTGATATTCTTACTGACTAAGAACACAGATTTTTATAAAATAGTCAATAAATGGTTTGAAGAATGTGCGTTGTCAACTTAATCGCGTTAGGTCGTGGCTACACATACATACGTTTTACGTCCTAAGTTATTTTGTGTTCCGTGCTTGAATGCAAATGCCTTGATTTTTTTTTGTTGCGTTTGTTATCGTCAGGAGCACATTCTTATTTAAGATAATTTAAGGGGTAAAATTAAAGTGTGAAATCGGGAAGTAGCGACGCAGTTTTCGTCGTCGAGGTCTTTGGAAAATCTTGCGAAGCAGAAGCGGCTATTATAGTATATAAGTTTTCTTTTTGTTTTGAGACGGAAAATTCATTTTTTTCGCCCTAGGTAAGACGACAGACGTCTCAAACTCTTACTGAAAAAAAAACCACATCGTTCCTTCTCCTGTTCCAAGTCGAGGTCTAAAAATTTCTGGTGAAAATACGGTGTTTAATTAAAGATGTGCACTACTACCTTCGGTAATAGAAAAGCGTGTCGTTAATACATAGTACCCTATATAATATTAATGTATTATCTTGTTAAAAGCCGATAATGAAGGGAAATGCTTTTAAATCTCCGGATCTCATATGAAGATTAGCGCCCTCTTGTGGTTTCCTTCAAAATTTTGAGCGTAGTAAATTTTGTAGAGACAAATAAAGATTGTTGGTAAGGGTCCTTTTTTCGCATGTTTATTTTAGTATTATAACTTTGTAATATATACTTTTTCTTCCTTTAATAGAATAGGACGGCAAATGAGCAGACGGATCACCTGATGGTAAGCAATCTGCGCTACCCATGAACATTTGCAAACCAGAGTAGATTTAAGCACGTTGCTTGATATGGATGAAGAATAGACTGCGACGCAAAACGTAACGCGTCGGATGTTTAACGCCGATTTTCAATACAACCGTGGTATCACTCTGGTCAATATTGGTCTCCCAACATTTATTTCTATATATACATATATTCTCCAGGAAACACACTCTCTAGATTGACAAAAATCCTTCAAATACGAGTAGATTCTTCTTTTCATCGCGTTTGGTAGGAGGTAGTCACAATTTTTTTTTTAAATATTTCGTATGATTATGTCAATACCATGTTGACTGGCGACAAATATTGAAAGGCACTTTTAACTCGAAGCATTATACGTTAGAAAAAAAAGAAGAATAATAATTATCTTACCTGAAACAGTCCATAGCTGGTGTATGAGTTGTTATGGTTTGTCACTTTGTCTGTTGTTCTGCCACTCGCGTGCTCGATCAGGCACACCCCTGAAACAAAAAAAAAAAACATAAAACTTGTATCATTGATTGACGGGAAGGCGTTGTTTTTTGGTAGTGTCCGGCAAACGAGTATACGGCAGATCACATGAAGGTAAGTGCACAATTTAGGGGTTGAGAGTTCCTGGACACGGGAATTAAATAACACTAGTAATACGAACGGAAATCATATATTGACTGGCAAGTCTCACATATCAAAGTAACCATATTGTATACTAGCTACTCTCGCGCGGTTTCACCCACTGCTCAGGTCTATTTAATCGTAGCGTGATGCTTTATGACCTATAGCACTCAGGAATCTTGTAGCTATCTATCAGTGAAAGAATTTTGGCAATCCGGCTAGCGGTTCTAAAGATTACCCCCTACATACAAATTTACAAACATACAAACTTACAAACATACTAACTTACAAACTTACATACATACAAACTTACAAATTTTACCTCTTTATAATATTAGTATAGATACCTGCAACACTTCATTATTGTATGTTTATACTATTACCCACATTAAGTACAATAGTTAATACGAATATATTACAGTAAGCAATCGGTCAGTCATTGTTGGAGGTGCATTGCTGGCTTTTGGATTTTTTGCGGATCAGGCAATTTGGGGATTGAGGGCGTAGTTTGTAGGATTGGGTCTCCCGTAACTACATTTCAAAAGCATGCGTTGTGTCACTGTGATTTTCTGTGTGGTATTAGACCGATCTTTGGTGAAGCACATTCGTAACATATATTCCATTTTCCTAAATAGCCTGACTTTTCTCAGGAGTGTAGATTGTGAGTGAGTAACAAATAACATGTAATAGATGTCTTATTTTTCAGACACCGGCTAGTAGGATTCGTTAATAAAGATGAAGATCCTAATAATTTTAGAAATGTGATTTAAAAACTCTTTGCTAAGGGTTGAAGTACAATAACGTAAAACGTTCGCCAACTTTCGCCATTCTATAATATCCTAATGGTATAAATGTGTAGGTATAATGGTATAAATGTTAGTAGAATACAGTCTACCATGATTTTTGCTCTCAAACTGCTTCAATATCAACACCTACTCAGTAATTGTACATCTGTGCATCATAAATCAATAACATTAGGAACAACTCGAAATTCCAAAGAAAATACAACACGAACAAAAGTCAAGTTGTTTTGAACTTGTCGAAAAATATAATGTACAAATTATTCCGTGAATCACGGTCGCTTTGTAAAATCCCCGGGAACAAATGCTGGGGGGTTGGTTCCCGTAGAAACTTTTGCACGACAACGAACGGGGAGGCGACGGATTGCGAATGATGACGGAATTGTTCACGAGACACGAACTTATTTTACATGTTTGCTGTTTGTATGTGTACTCGATGTTACGGACTTTGACGTGCTTTCATTTTTATTGGAAAGTTTTCATACTTTTTGTGTAATAGGACGGCAAACGAGTGATTAGATGACCTGATGGTGAGCAACCGGCGCTGCCCATGGACATCCGCAACACCAGAAGAGTTACGAGAGCATTGCCGGCCTTTTGGAGATTAGGGTTTTGGACATTAAGGAATTTGGGGGAGGGGGAGGATAGGGGGAGAAGATGGATTGGGCCTCTGGTTACCTAACTTCACACTGGATTTCTGTGTGATCGTAGCGTCACTCCAGTCGAGCCAACCCATATAACAGAAAAATGGTTTTCCCAAACTTAAAAAAAAATACGAAAACATAATATTGTCAGGTTTGCTTAACCTTTTTATCGTGGTAATTCGAGACACCATAGAAGAACAATAGCTGCGAAAACTGCAAAAAGCATTCTATTTTCATTTTCATGCACACATAAGATCAAAACAGTCACATTCAATACACTAGTCAAGCTAAAGACATCTATAGTATTAGCTGAATCAGCTATACGCTTAATTCATTGCTAAGATTAATCCTATTATATTCATGCGATATCGGATCGTTACCGGGGCGTAATATTGTAATTACTTTGCTCCACAAATTGACCTTTTCGTCTTATGAACACGTAAGGTATAGATATTGTGTCCTACATTCGTAATAGCCAAAGGTCCTTCGGTTTTTCGTATTAAAATAAGAAATGTGTTTTTAATATTAATCCCAAGCATGTGACTTCTCTGGTGTTGCTGATCACTTACCATCAAGTGATCAGACGGCTCGTTTGCCTCCTATTCCATAAAAGCCTTTTCTATATTGTCATCTATATCTCCTACTACTAAAATTGCCTAAGCAATTCAAAAGTAAAATTCTACCTACCAACAAATTGTAGATATCTTACAAAATTAAGATAACAGTGAAAACCAAAACATAAACGTGTCCTATTTAAAAAAAAACAAAACATTCAACGTTGTTTAGTCAAATTAAATTCGTTGACTTCGAAATTCTTAATTCAAATAATAACATTAAGGCGGGCCACACTAAATGAATCGACATCGGCCTTATTACGCGTTTACGCAGAACTTTCGCAAGAGAGAGATCTCCTTATTTGCATAAAAAGGAACCATTCAAATGACAAAACATTACGGATCTCCCCTTTTCATTAAAGTTTAAAATTGTTCGAGACATTTTAATTGATGCCGTTGGGACTTGGGACTGAGAATCGTTTAAGGCCTGTGCAGACGAGTGACTGTTTTAAAACTATATCTTCTGTTATAAAATGCAAAAGTAAGTAAGGAGCGTAGCTTGTTTAGCCAGATCGCTAACAGCGTATGGAAATGGGATAACGATAATTATAATGACTAAACTGTGTGATCCTGAAATTGTTGTTTCGGGTTGGATAGGTTGTGTATGCGATTTTGTACGTGTATAAACGCACCCACAAAGTCTTATAGTGGGTCAAGGGTTTCTTTTAAGTTATTTTTAGTGAACAATTCAATGACTCGCCCTGCACATGTCAAAGTCTTATTGACAAAAAACCATTTCTCGATACCGGGATCATGGCACCCAAATGATGATCTATCCGCAATGATTGTCGGAGATTTATCGCCATCAACTTGCCTCCTCTCTTGCCTGACGCATAAAAGGAGGTTCGTTCATTCACGCGCTCGGCTCTTCTTAGCTAACATCACTGCTTCGAAGAAGCTGAAGACGGCCTCTCAGGGGAGAAGTAAATCTTTTGATGTTTTGCATAAATACTTGTGTAATTGGATTATGGGCTTATGCGTGCATGCAAAGCCATGGGTAAAAGCTAGCACCTTGTTTATGAAAAGAAATAACAATCGGTACCTCGTGATGCAGTTCGGTTAACTTGATAGTGGATCTTTTTCTTTCTTTAGTTTTTTTTCTGCCGCGACGAAAGTCTCCCGTCTGCGTCACTAGAAATCCGATTTAATTTGCACATGTATTGTATTGTAACCTATTTTGTATTGAAACTGATAATTCGTGTTCAAGGTCAACATTTTGAGGTTATTTTCGCTTTCAAGTTAAGAGATTACTTAGTTTTTTTTAATAAATTTACCTTCTTTGACAGATAGTAGACTTGATTGAGTTTTTCTCATTTTATTTTATTTTAAGTGTTTTTGATTGTTTAATTTTATATCAGTATCCATTTTTAAGAGTCTCCAAAAATCAATGAATAAATTGAAATCGAATAAAATCCGATGAAAAATAAAGTCGATGATTTTGAAAAAAAACAGATTTAAAATAAAATCATCAATCATTTTCATTGATTACTTCAAAATCAATTGGAACCATTGAAATGTTTTTCATTACTGAAGCCGTAGTCATAGATATTTACAAAGTAATTTTTGAATAATTTTTGCTTAGCTATGAACATTATACCGCGTTTTCGAAATTGAAGCAGCGGCCGTCGTAATCGAGGGTCTGGAGCAGGAGAAGAAACGGGTTTTTAGTCAGTCAGTTAGAGAGTTAGAGTGGAATGTCTACGCTCGCCGTACTCAGGGCGAGCGTAGATATTCCATTAGTTTCGATCGTCAAAAAGAAGCACAACTCATTACATTATCCACAGGTCACCATACAATATAATTAGCAATGACAGTAGGGATACTGATATCAAACATACATATTACATACGCACAAAATATTTAGCCAAACTAAAATAGCACAAAAGTACACGAATAAAATTCTAATCAACTCCAATATCTAGAAGTCGAAGATCCCATTCATCGGATCCTAATCCTTTTTCCTTATTCATTGTATTAGCTTTTAGTAGAATAAAGCGGTTATTGCATTCCTTATATCACTACTCGATTGACACAAATACAAAATTCTTTGGACGTTCGAAGGGAATCCTTGGGATTGGTATCTACTATCTACGAGTACTTCATTATTTTCGTCTGTGACCATCGAAAATAAGTCAAACTATATAACCTCGTTCGTAGAAATCCAATCTTTCAGTCGATAGTATTACATTTTGCTTAACCGTAGATTGACGTAATATATGGTTTCGTCGAATGTTTCGTTTGCCCTGTTTTATTCGATTCTCGTCTTTATTGGATTAATGTTGTGATATTGGGTATGTCTTTGTAATATTCTTTGGTATATTTGTGTTGTTTTGTTATTTTGGTTTAGGTAAGTTCCTGTAGGGTTTCTTGGATTTTTGTCAGGCGTTTGATTGAATTCTATATATTTTTTCGAAGGTAGGAAATCAAAGCCAGGTTTAGATCTGTCACCAGACTCTTAATTATTAAAACCCTTCAGTTCTTTTTCCTGTGTCGAGCCTAGGTGCAGTACATCACTGCGATGGCACCCACCAGTCCAGACATCAGTCCAAGGGGGCTCCATCTATGGTGGACTGATGACGTTTTAAGGCAAGCGAATACGACGCGTTGTATACTCAGGTTGAATTCTGTATCTACGAATTGTATTTTAAAAATGGTATTACATAATTGAATGAGAATAATCACATAAGCATTCTGTGCATGCATCACATTCAATATACGATATACCTGGTTTATTTAAGCAATTTTATATATGTTACAGTAATTCTATTTGTCTGTTTATGACGGTAGATTACTTTAACTATTGTGATAATAAATAATTCAATCTTAGTACTTTGCTAGTCTTGGAACGTAAAAGATATTCGTATGGTAATTGAGACCTACGGCCACGAGGTTACGATCCTCGAACCGTTGAATTTCTAGATATTAAGAATGGTCACTCGTAAACAGACCGACTGCTGTAAACTCAGATCCTCGCAAAATACTAACTTACCCACGATTTCACGTAACCAACGCAACGTAAAAAGGACTTTATCGGTGTGTAATAAAGATGAGAATATTTCAATTTCGGCTACCGTTGTGACGTAATCAACGTTTAAGGATTACTATAACATTTTATTAGATTTATACTCTCATATAGATATGGAATGAAGAACATGAGAGCGCATTCAGGTACGATGCTACGATACCCGTCTTACGTGAATGCAAGCCGTAAAATTTTATCTTTATGCCGAATGGTAGTGCCAAAATTGAGCTTTATTGCCTTTTGTGTAGGATCTTTATTTGCGTGTAGAGTTTTAATAGTATTTTTATTACTCAACTATGAATGTGTATGTCCTCATTGAAGATCTTTCTCTCTTCTCTTAATATTATTGTGTTTACTTGTGTTATATTCTTAAACTTTTATTTGTTTGTATTCAATTTAAAAGCGTATTAGCTTAAAAATAAGGGTCATTTTTGCTTCGAAAAAAGAAAATGTGAAGTAGAAGTTTTGTTATTAATCTAACATATTAGTTGGGGCCCAATAGGGTCGATGTCTAGCCAGAGTTGCGGGTGAAAGCGCAACAATGTACTCCAGCCCCGGGTAAGAGCAGAAGAAGGAACGGGATGATTTTGATTCAGTAAAAGTTAGACATTCCCTCGAGCCCAACACAAGGCTAGAGGAAACATTCGATGATTTTTTACAAAGAAAATATACAAATCCTTACAAAAATAGTAAATTATTGTAATCTTTTGCCATCCTAATGAAGGACGTAAACCAGGAACTCGTAATCAGGCGGCCACCCAGAGTGTCAAATGTGCAGTCAAATTAAAAAAAAAATGCAAAACTGTCAAGTGCCAGCCTGACTCGCGTACGAAACATTGTATAGGTATAGGTAACTCCTACTGCAATCACGCATGTTGTATTGTATGGGAGTCCTTCACAATTTTCAATTTATTTATTTTTACTATTCGTTGTTATAGTGGCAACAGCATTACATCAACGTCCAAATTCCAACTCACTAGCTAGCTAGATACACAGACGGATGGACAGCAGGGCTAGGTAAGGCAAGGTTCCCGATATTATCCTTTGGCTTACTAAGAAACTCCTTATTATCTCAAAATAGTTGGTTGTAGAAACCTAGAATGTTCCAAGTGCTCGACACAGAACATTTTCGTCTCTTGAGAATTAACTTATTAGTTCCATCTAATGCAACGGCAATGTGCCACCTTGCTGGAGGTAGCTCTAGGGAGGAGATTCTGGTGTTACTACGTGCATTAGGTCCGGAAGACTGTAGTTGAGTGTGTCAATGTAATTTAATTTTGAATTTAATGTTTATGTGTGTTAATGTTAAAAATTGATTGTACGTAATAATTTTTCATTGGGAATAACAAGTTACTAAAGTGAATCAACAGAGAAAACTCTTATACATTTCTCATTGCTCCTGGTTCGAAAGCTGGCAAATATCAATGTGAATGTTTCCACTTTCTAAGGGTATTTAGACATCTGATAGACGATGAAGGAAAGCATCACGAGGAAACCAAATTTACGAAATCGTCAATCTGCCTTCAACAAGCGTTATGATGGATGCTCAAACCATCTCCGAGTGAGAAGACGCTTTAGCTCGAGAGTGGGCACTTATAAGTTAATAAATGAAGCTTCTGCACAATTATGACTACTCCAACTATACCATGATATTTCTTTGAATATTCTACTAAAATAACTATCATCATCATCACCACCATCAATAACCGTTTGAGTACAGCTGCACTATGAGCCTGTTCTACAATTTTTTTTTAAACTATGTTTTACGAAAACACTATGATTTTCTCCTATGTCGTGGTTGATACACTCAGACCCGAAACAACAATTTGTGGACACAAAGAATTGTTCGTTGTACGTTGCACGGCAGCCAGTTGCTCAGCCACCGTACCAACCGTGCTGTCGACAAAATAAAGACTTGCAAAAATCTCTCAGTTTGAGAAACTAGTAGAAGATTACCTACAGTTTCAAAGTCTAGGAGAATGTCTCCGCACCACGAAATAAGCGTCTGAGTCAAATTAAAAAGACTATGTCAATACCCATTAAGATAATTAGCTTCACGAAAACCTTTTTAAAAACCGCCTTTCTCTCCTGAAGCATAAGGTGCAAAAACCCTTGTCATCATAGTAATAGTGCATCAGGTTTCCAGCCTTAGCATGGAGCTTTGATGTGCAATAGCGTGTAAATGTATTGGATGCGTTCGAGTGAGTTAATCACGTGCCTATGTTATAGAGAACATCCTGTATATTCAGAGGTTCATCCTGTAGATATGATACCTAATAAAGTAGCTTGTATCTCTTTCTCTCTCTTTCTCTCTAAGTGGAGGAAGTGTAGGACTGTATATAATATACAAGAACTTTTTATTAACTTCTTTTTTGTTTTGTTTAAAGAAATCTTTCTCTTTCACGCGCGGCGCGTCCTAAGTTTGGCGTACAATGCAGTAGCGGTTCGCGTCATTGCTCGCGGAAACAACAAAATACAAGTGTACGTTAAACAGAACACGCGACGCGCGTAGATAGATGTAATAAAGAATTGGATTTCACTATAAATTCTATTTTGATATTCCAAAAGTTCAAAAAATTAGTTGGTTTTGGTGGAATAAATAATTTTGATTTATGACTTTTGACATGAAAAATTGCTTTTTTCTTTACACGTTTTTTGGTAACACAAAGAGAAAAACAACTTACAGTTAGGTATCATACTCCTCGGGAAATTGTATCGCAGCAATTCTCTAGACAGTTGACATCTGGTGAAGGAGCGGGCGTGACCCTGGGATGTATGCACCACGCCCAGCGTGATGAGAAGCAGCACCAAGTGGGTTGGTCGAGCCATTCTGTTGAGAAAGAAGTTTTTATATAAGGTTGTGAAATCTATTCGCTTATCACTAGCAACATCGAAGAGTTACAACAAGTGAGTGGTCGGTCTTTTGCGTTTTAGTTGCGGATGCAAATCCTAGTCTATTAGTCCTAAAAAATTTATGACTATCGGCTGGAGTTGTTGGAAAGTGCCAGTTTTCCTGCTTGACGGCCTAGCAGAGATCATTCAGGTTTTTAGTTAGTAAGATTCTGACACTACTTTGCGCTTCACCAAAGGCGGGAGACGGTAGATGATTTTGCGCACCGATAAAAGAAAACTGTTTTGAGAATTGAGGATTGGGCTTGAAAGGCAGTTAGGATTTGGCCTCCAGAAGCCTCATACCCCCATTGAAACACAACGTAAGCCTTAGTTTCACGCCTGTTTTCTGCGAGGCCTTGGTACCTCAGATTCATTTTGAGTTTTGTGGCCAAGTGGTGTGAAGGCTCTCTTACAATGCTAACACATAATCTACCACACTTCTAATAAATAGCGCACCTATCCATCCAACTTTAATCTAACAAAATGTTAGCATTAACCAAAACCTCTGTCTATGCCTTCTGGGAATAAAAGCGTGGTGTTATAGTTAATGTTTATCACAAAACTGTTGGAACTTTGACGTCGAAAGTTGTTTCACGCGGCGAACTAAAACAGAACAATGAACTAGTTGGAGTGACAAACAAAGTATTTTAATTAATTGTCAGAATTGCATTTTGTGACGATGACTAGTGACTAGCTGGTCATGTTGACGAAGGGCGATTACCTAGCGAAGTTTTAGTCTTGTTCGTCAGGCAAAATGTTATACTATTTAATAACAGTTTACCGAAAATTTGATAGTGTAGCGTCGCATATCGACGACTATAAAAATTCAATCATGATGTCGTATATCAGCCTTACATAATAAGATATGGGAAATACAGTAACAACAGCCAAATATTAGACAACAGCATAGCATAGGCTGCACGGCTGCCGTGCAACGTGTCGCGGGTTCGATTCCCGCACGGAACAACCGTTTGTAAGATCTACAAATTGTTGTTCCGGGTCTGGGTGTCATGTGTATGTGAAATTGTATGTTTGTAACCGCACCCACGACACAGGAGAAAATCCCAGTGTTTAGCAAAGTTTAAAAAAATACGATCCTCCTTTTAGAATCTTACTTTCTAACCTCTTATTTGAAGATGGAAATATTATAATTTGACTTCTTTTCCTGGGTGTATCACGAGGGACTGTAAGACGACTCAGCTGAGCTGGGTCCGAGGTTCATAATTGCGATTGCACCTGGCTATCACTCACAAACTGACATTGCTCTAACCACCTAGGGCGAGAGATAAGACTCCGAATGAAATTGTCAAAAAAAATGAATAGATTTATTTATTTACTTAATAATTTATGTACACACAGTAAATTGGACAAGAAAAATAATACAACAATTAGGTATAATAGATATAGAATATTGTCTGGAATAACACAAAGGCTATGGTTTACCCAAGTACTGTAGCTACTGAAGCTAGTAAATAAACAGGTAATGTTGCAGCCATACTCATGTGAGTTGAAGCGTAATGAAATTTTCTTAAGCGTTTAGCTGCCTCAATGGTTGTTTCTGTCAACAGATTCCTTATTATGCAATGAATACGTTATGAAGTTCATGGAACTATGCATTTAGTTTGGTTTTGTAGATTCGACTAGGTTTTTTTTTTTTTTTTTTGTGAGGGGAAAATCATCAAATGACTTCTCCCGCCCAGGGCCGGGCAGGAGGGAGTGTCAGACTCTTACTGACTAAAAACCCCCCTGTTCCTTCTCCTGCTCTGTGCCGAGGTCGCGGTACCTCATTGCGCTTACCCCGCAACCCCGGCTGAGATTCGACTAGGTAAGTTCGTGATGCTGCTTGTACTTACCGTATTTTAGTACATAATGTCTCCTAATCGATTTTGAACTTTATTCTCTCGTTATAAAATTGAGACATTTTTTATTTAATAGATATGTTTCAAATTAATATTTTTTGTACTTTTTGGTTCTTTTTATGTAGTAACTTAATGCCTCTGAATTTGAAAACGGTTTTTTCTTTACTTAATTGTGGTTTCAAAAAATCGATAATGGCTTGCTAAATTCTGAATGCCCTATTTAGTTTGTACTATATCCGGATTAATGTTGCCTGAATAAAACAAAGTAGGTAATTTTGGAAATAAACCATAATAAATTTAATACAAACACCGCACAAAGAACAAAAAAACAAAACACAATACGAAATATGTAGATTTAAAAAAAACAAATAGAACAAACTTCATTCATTCACTCACTCGTTCAGCATTAATTTCAAACAGACACCAACTCTCATTCGTTCCCATTCATTCTCTATAGGTGCAAAATAGAACAATAGCTGACAAAATCACAGTGTAAAACAGCAGTATCAAAAACTTGAAACTCAATTAAAGCGATGAGTCAGTGAGGTAGCTCATTCTTTGTGCTTTAACAACAGCATTACTAGGTCTGATCTACACTAGAGATCTGTTTATTTTTTATGAGATAGATGGATCTTTAAATCGTGGTTAGCAATCGACGCTACCTATGTAGATAATACAGAGGAGAAACAAGCGCGATCTTTCGGGGTGAGAGCAGGATAGAATATAGCAGATCATGGGTAAACTCACTCGCATGGTTAAAAAAAAACAAGTGTGGTTTGATAGATAGTTTTAGAAATGAAAAAATGACTACTATTATTAATAGCAATGAAGCTGATCTTTAACATTACAATAGAAATCACTGCTGCTGGCAAAGCGCAATGTAGTGCCGAAGACCAGCTTGGGGCCGGAGATGGGTGGTAGTTTTTAATCATTAAGAATCTGACACTTTCTTTCGCCTCACTCATGGTGGGAGAAACCATTATGATGATGATATTACTCCTCAAAAAAGAGTAGTTTCAAATATACATTACGGACTATGTAGGACATGATAATGCTATCAATTAATGGATTGCAGTTATGATAGCGTGAATTTTTGTGCAGTATTCAGGCAGTTATAGGAGCAACATAGCTTTTAATGTGTTTTGCCTATCAAAATTTAATAATAAGAATCTTGTTAGTCTGACTCATACCCTCAAATTTTCAAATCAACCCCAACAAACATAGAAATCTGGTAACATTATAGGACTCATTATGAAATACATTTTACGTTGCCGAGTCGTTAGTGCGCGCTGCTCCTAACTGCGCTCCGGATGCAAGCAAGTTGTAGAAGGAGCACCGCTGCAGGCATTTGTTTTTGGATATTTTAAGCGAACGAGCGAAGAAAGTTTGTGTAGTTATCGCTGTAATGTCGGGTTTGTTCAACACAAAATAGGATATTCTTTGTTGAAAGTGATTGTCCATTATTTTTTAATGTTTGGAATTAAGGATCTCTTAAAGAATGAGAGAAAAATGTGTTTACTTCTAGTTTCTTTTTATAACATTTCTGAGCGCGAGTTCTGACACACGATTAACGGCAATACGTTCACTTTCTTAACTCACTTCATGAGATTCATAGGATATGTGATGAAACTCTGTGCTTTCATTACACGTATATGAGTTTCCTCACCGTTTTGTGAATAATAACCTAAGACCTATAATTTGAGATCGTAGTGACCCAAAGGTTAAGGCTCCTACTTCTCTATTGTTCGTGATTTATTATTTATGTTCGATATTTTTCTAAGTTGTATATGAACTTTCCAAATGTATTTGAAGACTAGTGATGAATGGTGAATTGAAATAACTACTTTCAGCAACCGTGGTAATAAATGCTCAAACCCCCTTGGCCTTGGCTCAGCAGTGGAAAAACCTACATATAAAACGCATGGCATTGAAAGAGAAAAAATCACATTGATATCCTCATTCAAGAGAAGCATGGAGCAAGCACGGTGTCACCACAACACTAAAAAAAAATTCTTAAAAAAGAAAGTGAAGAGTAGGTAGCAACTAAAATCGATACGGTAGATAAACATTGAGAGCCCACAATCGTAGCTCTTATCCAACGTTAAACAGTGCAGTACGTTTAAATTAACTCAGCTCTCAGGTATCAGTCTAGCTAATTAATATGTGCTCAGCGTTGCACGGGTGCATTGATTAGACGGCACGGTGTTGTATTGTTGATGTTCTTTGTCGTTTGGTTTGTTTGGGATTGATGCTTTTAGCACGGATGATATTTTGACTTTATGTTGAAAAGAAAGAATCAAATTGGGAAGGAAAGGAGAGGAAGAATGAAAGAAAGAAAAAACAAAATAAAGAAAGAAAGAATTAGCGAAAAAAAGAAAGAGCGACAGAAAGAAAGAAAGGGCGAAGAAAAGAAAGAATAATATTTTTTTTGTAGGGTGTTATTACCAATTTCAATTAAATAAATTAACGTTAATTACATGCATGTTATTTTATTGTTATTACAAAAGAAAAAAATATTATGATGCTGAAATTCTCGACATCAATTGGTGTCGAGAACTTCATGCTAGAAAAGAAGGCCTCTTGCTCCGTACGGGGCGAGAAAAGTCATTTCATAAATATCCCTAACAAAAATAACCCTAGAGGTTGACTGCTTGAGAATTCCATTTGGCATCAAGTTCATTCTTGACTGATTGACATAACACAAAGTGTTTAATGAAAAAAAACAGCTTAACCAGTTCTCTAACCAGCGATTTCAAAGATTACCCCCTACATACAAACTTACAAATTTGAAATTAGTAAAGAAAAGGTCCAAAGAACTCGAAATTTTTCGACGACAACGAACGAACAAAGCAGTGCAGCTATGCTAAGTCTATTTACCACCAGACGAACTTCAGTAATTGGCAGATCGGCTCACGTGAGTAATCGAGTTGTGTGCCTTGAAATTGGAGCCTTGGATGGGGCGCCTTTATTAACATATTGTGACTGCCTAGTAGCAAGTTCTGTGTGGCAGGCAATTGATGGTTGCAGTCGTAGGGTTGAACTGACCATTTGGTTAGTGAAGTCACATAGCTACTGCAAGATCTTGAGCTTTTCTTTTGAGGGAGGAAAGTCATCAAATGGTTTCTGGTTTCTGAGACGAGTAGTTAATGACTAAAAACCACCTCTCTCTTTCTCCTGCTACAGGCCGAAGCCACGTGACATCATTGCGCTTGACTTGTGGAATCGCAGCAGATCTTAAGCCTTGCACCATTTTTTACTGAATGTTTGTGCTGTGTTGCGTATATTAGAATAGGTAGATATGAAAATTTATACATTGTTTACCAAACGTTCTAAGGCAGATTGGGTATGGAAACTTATCTATACTAATATTATAAAGAGGTAAAATTTGTCAGTTTTTTGTTTGTAAGTCTGTATGTAGGGGGTAATCTTTGGAACCGCTGGTCGGATTTCAAATATTATTTATTATTTCACTTATAGATAGCTACAATGTTCTTGAGGCTATAAACATCACGCTACGATTAAATGGAGTCGAACCGGGTGAAACCGCGCGAGAGTAGCTAGTACTTACTAAACAACTGTTACTGATATTATTTTACCTACTAGCTTACTACTGATAAAATGTTTTAAATAACTGGTAGCTTAACAGAAAACTGGTTTGATCCGTCAAATGGCTTTACGAACACGTGAAATGGAACCAAACAGCATTAACGCGTATCCATTACAAAGCAATGATCAAACAAAACATGTTAACGGCACTAAGTTCAGTATACTTTGCAAGGAATATAAACAAAGTTCATTCATTCATTCATTCGTTCACGTTCTTTTTCCATTTGTATCTAACTAGCTATTAGTCATCCGCTTCTCGTGCATAAGGGTTTGAAACCTGGCATGTACTATTGTGAGATTTTCCGAGTTATATGTACTTCCTGAGCTTATTTAAACATCACTGACATGCGGTGATGGAAAATATCGTTAGGAAACCTGGGCTTGGTTCTTATCGCCAATCCGCCTTGAGCAAGGTTGGTGATTAATGCTCAAACCTTATGGCTAGAATGAGTGTCAGACTCTTACTGACTAAAAACTCCTCGTTCTTTCTATATTCTATTCTATAAATTAACCCCACTAATAATGCAAAGCCTTTTACTATCTGGTTATTTATAATAATGAATGTCAGTATAAATTTAAAATTGCACACATCCGCTGCGAATTCCACTTCATTTAAGTATTGATTTGACGGAATTAACTATTTCATAATTATCGTGGATTGTGAAAAATGTATTGTACAGTCAACGTCAAAAAAGTATGGTACTCAATTATATGTATAGACAAACAACCAAATTATTGGTACAACAAAGTCACCATATAGATAGATGCACTCAAAACACCGTAAATATAGCTATAAAATATATAACACTTAAAAACCATAAACTGAAAATGTAGTAAGCATTGAAAACAAAAATGATTTTATAATATAAAACAGTTTGGAATTAAAACCTCTTTATGTAATCCAGCATATAGTGTATTGAATTTCTTTAAGGTGACTTTGTTGTACCGATATATTGATGGTTTGTGTGCGTCTCTGTAATTGGGTACTCAGAATGTCCATATATATTTGACGCTGACTGTATCACCCTTTTATGTACTACCAAAGTGAGTTAATAATGAAAAATTAATTGGTGATCGTCGAATCAGCCACTGGTGACCGATTTACAGTATTGTATTGTCAAATGTATGTAGGTATTAAAATTTGTATACGTTATTATTTTACACGAAACAATTTTAATTGAAAATGGTATTTTATTAAATTCGTTTAAGCGTTTTCTGTTTTTTTTTCAGCTGATGATTTTGTACAGTATTTTTTTTAGATTTTGGTTTATATCTTTTTCGTTTAATTTCAGTGGTTGCTGATTTTATTTTTAATGTCAGCAATTCTTTTTATGTGCTTATCAATCTGATCAATGTTATCTACATTTAAAATAAAATTATAAACTGTTTGTCACTATCTAATAAAAACTTACTTTTTAAAGATCAAATAACAAAATGGGTGTCGGTAACCAACAAAAAGGTTGCAAACATCTAACATCGACCTGTAAAACTCCTTCATTGTTGTTTCTACGTTTCACAAGTAATTGTAGCATATCAAAATAACACTTATTTTGTACTTAATAAGATATAATTTCCCGTTTTCAATTAAGTATCGCTTACCTTATATTATTAGTATCCTGTAACGGTTTGCACCGGCGACTGGCTCGCTCTGCCTGCGCTCTGTGGCAGGGAGTGTCCAATTATTCACTTTGTAAAACTGCACGCAATTGTAACGCATAGGGCTTAAGGAGAAGCTCTTTGTACAATAAATAAAGTAGATATATTTTTAAACATGATTTTTGATCACTAACTTAACAAGTGTGGGAGAGCCATGCTTCGGCTGATACCATGGCCTTACAGAAATCTAGTGTAAAACCACCACAGTGTTGTTTTTTACCGTTTGAATGAGGTTACCGGAGGCCCAATACTTTCCCTTCCCCAACACCTCCCCAATTCCTTAAACCCCAAAACCCTAAACCCAAAAAGATCGGCATCACACTCGTAACTCTTCCATTGTTGCAGGTGTCCATGAGCGGCGCTGATTGCTTAACATCAGGTAATCCGTAAACACGTTTGCCGTCCTATCACATAAAAAGAGATGCGTGCAAAACGTAATAAATAAAACTAAGTAATACTTTAGAATGACCTTTCGGTTTTTCCGAACTGGTACGACCTTCAAACGTTAAAGAAACGAGCGCACTCCTTCCTTAATGGCTGGCAACGTGCATGTTGATTCATCTGGTGTTAGAGGTGTCCATGGGCTGGCTGAGCACTTACCATCAGGTATTCCGAATGCTCGTTTGTCCCCTATTTCATAAAAACACAGTGTGTTATTGCAATTATCATTACTTTGACCGGATTTTTCTGTAATATCTTGTTTTGTTCAAAATACGTGTCGCTGTCTAACTGCCTCGTTTGCCTAAGTGCAGCTGAGCAAATGTTTTTATGATTTTTTGTTGTTGTTCGGAAATGTATTAGTTATTTTCCTTTTTTGATGTTAGGGGCAAATCATCAAATGACTTCTCCCGCCCAGGGTAAGGCGAGAGAGAGTGTCAGACTATTACCGACTAAAACCCGTCCAGTCCTTCTCCTGCACTGGGCCGAGGCTGCGGTGCTACATTGCGCTGCGGCACCTCAGTGATTATTATATTAGTAATATTTTAATAGCAAGATTGGTGAAGTAGCTAAATAAATGACTGTTGCGCATCAGATGGAAATTTTGTGAACAATAATTGTACTATGTTTGGGTGTAGTATGTATGGATGTCTACCGTGCAGTAATCAACCCCTGATAGTTATTTTGAAAATATATTTAACCTAACTACAGCTACATCTTTGTTCACCCCTTTAGTACATAAAAAACGTGACGTCACAAGTTGCTAATAAGAATGAACACATCGGAAATTCAATAACCCTACGCACTCACACACTAATATTCGCATATTATGTACCATGAACTTAAATAAATTTCTAATTTCGAAATCTAAATTAAATTTCCGTACCGTTAAACTCGTCCTCAATTTAAGAAACCGCCAAATCCCCTTGATCTCTCAATCCGAAACTCCACGCTTGGAAGCCAAGCAGTTATTGTACCCAATTTGGGTGGCAATAATCCGTCCAACCTGTCCTGTCATCCAGGGATTCAAACGTGCACTAACAACCGAACCGTCCAATAGCGACGTTGCGCCACCCGTAACTGACCAATGAGGACTTAGCTTAATCTGAGGATTTTGAAGTGAAGCATTGTTCACGTTTCGATAGTTTTTATTTTAACTTTTTTAAGGGATGGAAAGTGACTGGATTTGTGTTTAGTAAGCGTTTTCTTTGATATAATTATTGCCAGAAGTAAAATAAACTGAAAAGTATACCTTTTAATTCTAAAAGATAATTCTGTCCCATATTATCATATTTATTGATTAAAATATGTTCTTTATGCGTCGTTTTTGTTCATGAGGTGGGCACATAGCTTTTTAATAAGAGTCCTGGTGTGGCTTGACTCTAGTTGAGCATTGCTCGAAAATATCAAATACTAAATATCACCGACCGCTCGGCTCCATTTGATCGTAGCGCAATGTTTTAGTCTATAGCACTCGCAGGAACATTGTAGCTATCTATCATTGAAAGAATTTTGGCAATCCGACTAGTGGTTCTAAAGATTATCACAACATACAAAATTACAAATTTTACCTCTTTATAATATTAGTATAGATTATATCAAGCCTTTGATTAATTTACTACTTATGTTTCGCGATAGTTATTGGCAAAAATATTGTAACCCGTAACCATAATTATAACATTTTTCAGATGGTGATATCTGTAAAAAAACATTATTACTGTTTGACTACATTGACAGTTATAAAAAAAAAACATTGTTAGACCAAATGTTTATGCCTTAATAAGATCATTGAACAACTCAACAAGTACCTCTAACTAAACGGTTTGGCTTCAAGCATTCAATGTCCACCACGAAACTTTGATCCAGGTCAGTTCAGCTCCTCTAATTTTGTTACAGCACGTAAACTTAGTTGCAACAAACACTAAATTCAATGTAACCGGTGGACATGGCGACCTCTTGGGAGAGAGGACACAGTTTCCTTGCTCAGAGTAAACATAATGTGGTATATGGACAACGGATCGGTAAAGTTAAAAGCGTTTACGGCAAACGAATTTCTATAGAAGCTTTATATATGATAAATGATTATGACTTTGACTTTGACTTTGACTTTAAAGTTTAAAATCATGAGGTTATCATGAAATACTTAAAATTCATTTAAATCGGGTCAATTATTGAACCGATTTAAATGAATTTATCTACATAGTATAAAAGAAAGTCGCTTTTTTGTCCCTATATCCCTATACCCCTATGTATGCTTTAATCTGTAAAACTACGGAATGGTTTTTGATGCGGTTTTTAAAATAAAAGAGTGATTGAAGTGGAACGTTTATAAAATATGTATAATTAGCTATTCTCGGTTAATTCGCTGCTCAGTTCTTGCAAATCGTAGCGGGTTATTTTAAAGCCTAAGCGAATAACTAACTATATTTCGAAAATGTACTTAAGTTTTAATATAGATTTATATATTGCGTAGGAATGTTAAGTTTTAATGATTTTTGACACGAGTTTTCATATACCCCTGCAGCGTAAGCGTTCGGTTCGTAAGCTGTTATCTGGGATTAGTTTTAAATTTCGAGTTTACTTATTAAATAGATGCTAGTATGATTTTATAATTATGATGGCTTTCTTACTAAGTAAACTATCACATCTAAGTATTTGACAATAAATAAAGCTGAGTTAAAAAAAAAGGTTTTATTGAAAAAGAAAATCAGCATAAATATTTATCTTCATTCTATTTTTATCTTTCAACAAATACAAAAAACAGACTTTAGATGAGAAAAAAGATATACGTGACTATCTCGCAATTTTAGGTCTCAATCTATTGTGCTAAATTTTTCTTTTTTTTATTTGAAGTCTATCCAATGTCAGGTCAAATGGCTAGGTCTCATCTTTTTCCAATCTTAAAGATGACATTTCAAGGCAAATAGTAGATATTGAGACTTTAATTGAGTTCAGTATGTATTTAATTTTATCGATTTTGAGATATCTATTTATTCCCAAGTACCTACAATATTTTCTACAGAAAATTAACATAAGTATGCGATACATATTATTGTTAGAAACGGTATCTTTAAAAACCTACAAGAAACGAAATAAACTATCCATTTAGAATATAATCTTTAAAAATAACAGTATTAATTTGTTTTCGATAATTCGTTTACATTTTTAAGCTAAAATTCCAAATTAATCTTACTAATATTAGAAATGTGAAAGTTTGTGAGAATGTATGGATGTATGTCTGTTATTCGTTCACGATAAAAAGGATAGATAGATTTTGTTGAAATTTGTTATGTAGATTGGTGATATCCTGGATTTACACATAATATATAAGTAGTCTTTTTTTTTATCAACCTTGCGGGCGGAACCGAGGGTGCAAGCCAGTACAATAATATTAAAGTCATGTTTTGTTTTTAGTATACAATGAAATAATGACACTTTTCGTGTAAATAACTTTTTTCTTCCTCTTCGTACAACCAAGAAAAGACTTTACGAAATAATGCGTTTTTTTTTGTGAGGGGAAAATCATCGAATGACTTCTCCCGCTCAGGGCCGGGCGAGAGGCAGTGTCAGACTCTTACTGACTAAAAACCTCCCTGTTCCTTCTCCTGCTCTGGGCCGAGGTCGCAGTGCCTCATTGCGCTTACCCCGCAACCCCGGCTGACGAAATAATGCGTTATATTATAAAAACATGAGTTTATATATGCAATGTGAAGAAAATAACAATAAGGAAAAGATAGAACGCGTTCGATAAGCGATCGGGAAAGAACTCCGGAACTAAGGTCATTCTGTAAATTGCTATGTTACGGATCTGAATCTTTACGGGTCTCTATAGTCACGAGTTGGGGGCATGGTAGTGCAGGCGCCAAGACATGCAGAAAAAGTAAAAGATTTTGTTTAATTTTGTTCACAGTACTAAAATTATGTTTTTAAATCTGGTTAATTTTTTATAGTATTGGTTAAGAGAATGTAAGAACCAAAATATCAATGTAATAGAAATCTGACAAAATAAGCAAAGTACTATTTAATTTTCACATTTTTATGAATCACAGTACTTAATACATAGCTTAGAATTGTGATGTAAGGTGTTCTTAAGTAAATGTAACTACGCCAACTGCGTTTTTTAAAGTTAGAAAGTTGGTATGTTTAATAATTATGATATGAATTGACTTGATCATTTCATGGGAGAGCCATGCTTCGGCACGAATGGGTCGGCGCGACCGGAGTGATACCACGGCTTCACAGAAAACCGGCGTGAAACAACCACAGCGTTGTGTTTCGCCGTGTGAGTGAGGTTACCGGAGGTCCAATCCTTCCCCTCCCCCAATCCATCCTCAATCCCTAAATCTGCAAATCCCTAATCCCTAAAAGGTCGGCAACGCACTCATAACTCCTCCGTTGCGGGTGTCCATGGGCGGCGCCGATTGCTTACCATCAGATAAACAGCCTGCTCGTTTGTTTGATAAAAAAAAATTGAGGATTTTACATGGATATTATTAAGTCAAAAACATATTTTAATATTGTCTTTCTTTGAAACCGTGATGATTAATGCTCAAACCTTCTTCGTGTGAGTAGAAGCCCACTACTCAGCCATAGGTACTTATAAACTGAATGTGACGAGCCGTGTCTTGGCAACTCTACCAAGAACATTATTGTTTTTTTTTGGTTGGGACCTTACACTATTGGTATCGGCTGAATAGTATTGTTTCAGTACAAAGCAAATGTTTGTAAGCTAATACTGTAGTTACTTATGGATTGGTTGTTGCTTTTTATTTCTCTGAATTGGTTCAGTATCGACGTTAATCGAGTGATTTGCCGAAGTCCTTCCATCGGCCCGGAAATTATTTTTTAAATTGCTTTTTTAACTACGACTAATATTATAAGTGTGGACTTTTTTTGTTTTTATCCTCTTTAGGATTGTGCTATATACTTAACTATATGTATATATGTACTTAAGCTATTTAATTAGGATTTCTTTCTATGAATATAATCTACACGGTTACACTGAACAAACTAAAACAGGTTTAGTGAATATATGTCTATCTAAAAGAGTATACATACCTAGTACAAAACATGGAAGAAAAGAGTTCGAGATCATGGAAAATCAAATGTTTCTTGAAAAAGAAAAAATAAAAAATAAATGGCTACCTAAATCAAAATGCAAATGAAAATGATAACCAGTTCACAGTAAAACAGTGTTTGCACCCAAAACTCTGCCCGTCCCCTGTCAAAACCACTAACATTTAGTGATATATCGTGTGGAAGACCAACCAGTATACGTTGACCCCTCGTAAATTTACAGAAGTGGCGAAATTTGGGTGGTATAGAGACCACCGTTAATTGGTTGTTAGGCAGCCCTGGCTTTAAGAGCGTTATGGCCGCTTGTGGGAACAACGACGAACAATGTATGCGTATTGTGCTGTCGAATCAAATGTGAACATTATTTTTGTAAAAGAAAGTCATTGTAGAAAAACAAAAGACGGTTATACTTACATCAATAAGTTTGGATATTATTTAAGTAAATCAACCACATAAAAGAAAATCATAGAGTGCGTTATACTGTGTATTTCTTAATATACAATAAATTTTTTACAATTTATTTTAATAATAAAAACATTTTTCCACTACTTACCTTCCCTGTCCATAAAAAACAGTTACCTTCCCTGTCCTTACATGTCGATGTATGTCTAAATCTTTAAATCTACGCAACGGATCTGGATGAAATTTGGCACAGGCATAGCATACACTCCGAAATAGGACATATGCTACTTTTTATCAACATACCATGCGGCCGAAGCCGCGGGCGGAAGCTAGTCTCAAATAATATAACATCCGGAGTAAGTTACGTGTTTTTGGAAAAACCTTACAAAATATCAATTTTATTTTTAACATTGCTTTAATGTGTGTCCAGACCTGACCTGTGTCTAATTTTCAGTAATATGTATACTGTGGCAAGAAAGAAATCAACCGAGTACCGATAATAAGTAGTAGTTTATCCAATCTTCTTTGCTTTAACAAAGCTTTAAAACAGAAACCCTTATTTAGCAATCGCGCCGGTGACCCACGCAACCTAAGAGGCCGTATTCTTCCAGAACTTTATACCTTTAGTTTTTCCTCTGAAAAGGTGCGAATTACTTGGTATGGAAGATTGTAGCCAGGAGTGGGGGGTCGATGACCGTCCGTCACCCACTGTTATCAATAGTCATGTAACTCGCTCCTGTTCCCAACGTAGCCAGTTTTGTACTAAGATATACGATTACAGCGATTTTCTATAAAACTAAGCCTGTAGTGGAATTTCACTTCTGTGTCCTGTTTGTTCTTGTACGTTTACTATGAGAATCTTTGATTTGGACTGATAGAAGTATTGTTTAGTTTCTAAAGAACAATGCCAGCTGTCTATAGTAACGTTGGCTCAATATTAATTAGTCATGGACAGTGAATATTCTTACGTGTTTTTATGTTGTTTAATGTCAAAAGCATTTCTGTGATTTCTACTTTTACATTGAACTTCTACGAAAGAAGTTATTCAGACTTTTTAAATTAGAGGTTATGCATTTTTATAGAGATTAAATTAAACAACAAATATACAGTAATTGAATAGTTTTATTATTTTTTTGCCATTGTCATTCATTATCATCATCATCAATTACATTATCAAAGTCAATTAATAAATCAATAAGAAATTGTGCAGGTGGCTCAATATTATTTTGGTGCTACATTTATACAAACATTAAGTTGTCTTACATATAACCATCAAGCTCAGTTAAAACCGTTTACATTATATTAATACGAATTATACTCTATACCTCAGAAAGGGAAGTCCATTGCCGTAACAATAAACGGACATCGTCAGATTCAACTAAATGCCGTTGCATTCGGAACACATTTAAACCACAATTAATACAACGTAGTTGATGAGACATGGTCACAAAATGTGTGTGGATATAACTCAACAAGTTAAAACGCAAACTAATTCGAAACGAAAACAGAAAATAAACGACAACAACACCGTTATCAACATAAACAATATGTGTCAATGTCAGTTTAAGTTTTTGCGATTTTGACAGAATTTCCGGAAGTCGTAACCTAACAGGGTTGCTATTACAAGGCAATTACGTTACTGATTACAGATAAAAAATAATCGATTTCTATAATCTTGATGTTATAATTGAAATAAAAAAAAAATATTATCTATATTTATATACCTTATGAACTATATTTCAATAAAACACTGAAAAGGGGTGGTAAATAAAAAGTAAAGAATATTTTTTATTTTTAGAATTATCTAAATAACTAAAAATAATTGAGTTATAATTACATCGGCATGACTTTAATTATTTATAATAATCGAATAAAATGGCAAGACTGGCAACTTTTTTATTTAAATCCGGATTTAAGAATTTGAATAGTAAAATGATTTACTTATTAAAAATGAATTTCTTTTCGAATACTTCCCGAAGATAACTAAATGTTTGGTTTTAAGTTGGTATTTTGTATTTAAATTGTTGTAGGTAAAAACTTTGTGTCCGCGTGAATTTAGCTATAAAAGTTGTGTAAGCCGAAATTCGTCATTGTTCTTTGAAACTACCAACTTTTAAGACTAGAACTTAAGAATTAAAAACGTTGTTTTTGTTTTATTATTCTCAATATTCTCTAGCGATCGAAACTGAATAACTAGGTTTTTAAAAGAACTTTCGAAGAGACAAGAAGTTAATAAGAGAGTAATAAGAAAAGAATACATTTTCAATTACATATTAAGAATTCATTCAATAAATACTTCTAGTATGAATTTGATTAAGGATCGAAGATTTCTAAAAGTCAAAATTCTAAATAGGGAATCCACTCAGAACCTAAGCTCATAGATAATGTTCAAATACCTAGACGATCGTTGAAAATTGTTAACAGAATTCTTAACAGACAATCATACTAAAAGTTGAAATTAGCAACTACGTTAGCAAGATAACCAGCCTAAGAAGACCTACCTTACAATCGCTTGAATCCGTAACTTAGACTCCTCATCCGGTCGTCACTCAGGGGAAACGTTCCATTATGTCGCAAGCACGCATTGCACCGACTCTATTCTTCTACAAGTACCTAGGATTATGACCGGAATTGCCTTTTAAGATGCCACTTGTCCCAATCTCCAGTCGTATCTCAACTTTATAGGGGACTACAGAATTTTGTACGACGATACTTTTTGTTTAGCTCATGTTCTCGTATCGTTAATGTAGCTCTATGTTCGAAGTTTTTGATTCATGTACTAACCTACATAAGTTCCATATTTCCAGTAAAAACAAGAACAGAAACAATAATTTATCACGACGACCCAATTGGCGTTGTTGTGGTTTTGATTCGACGAAAATTTTCCATTTGATTCTAAATGTTCTTTCGGAGTTTGCTTTTGAATTATAGGATTTATGTTCTATTTTTTTATGGGACAGGACGGTCAACGTATTACCTGCTGCTAAGCAACCAGCGCATAACTGCACGATTGGCGCGGTGGCTGGGCAACTGGCTGCCGCGTAACGTGTCATGGGTTCGATTCCCGCACGGAACAACTCTTTGTGTGATCTACAGATCGTTGTTCCGAATCTGGGTGTGATGTGTATGTGATTTAACAAGTTTGTAAACGCACCCACGACACAGGAGAAAATCCTAGTGTGGGGCAACGTTTTTTTTAAAAAAAAAAAAATTACTTTGTATGTAGGGGGTAATCTCTGAAACCGCTGGTCGGATTTCCAAAATTCTTTCACTGATAGATAGCTACAATGTTCCCGAGTGCTATAGGCTGTAAAACATCACGCTACGATCATTTGGAGCCGAAAACCGGGCGAGATTAGCTAGTGTCAGATATTGTTATTGTTCTACGAATATATTTTTAATCCATTACCAAATATGATGTGGAATGTCTTAAAAACCCTACTTCTTTTTTGTCATATGACTTCAAAATTTGCTCAAAATTATTCTATTTTGTTCTCAGAATGTGGCTAATGGGCGCAGTGTGCGTGCTATGCACGTTGCTGCACGCGGTGGACGCACAGTGGAGGTGCCCGGGTCTGTCTGCACGACCAGCGGCGGAGTGCTCCTGCGACCTCCCACACACCCTGCGATGTGCCGGCGACCATACTGCTTTACAGGTAGAATTTATATTGTATTTTACACCAGCGGACTTTCCCCGAAAACCCCCACAGGGCGCCACTTAAACGCATACAGAAAACATCGTTTAAATCGTTCGTTTCGTTCCATGACATACACACGTACAGCAGAATATATAAACATATTATATAGAAAATATTAGAAATTATATACTCGTATTACCTGAGCCGGCAAATATGGTTTAGCCATTTTTATCATTTCGAAAAATGTTAAGGATGAACAACCCTTTCCACTTAGGGATATGTAAAATACTCAGTAGAAGATTCTCAGACCTACTGAATATGCATATAAAATTGATAAAAAACAGTGAAGCCATTTCGGAGGAGTAAGGTAACTAACATTGCGACTATATATATGTTATAAATGTATATTTTGTATAACTATATAATAATCAGCGCCATCTTTGAACACCGTTTCCTTAACACCGAGGACTTACGAATGTATGACGACATTTTAAAAAGGAGTTCGCGGTTTTTGATTATGTCTCCAACATGTGACCTTGAAGGTCGTATAACCAAAAAGTACAGAAGAGTATTTAAAAAAAAATCAGTTTCTGGTATAAACTCAGAGCTTTGTTTGAAGATGGAAGAAGATTACAATCACACCATGTAAGAAACCAACAGTCAATCGAAACTATGAAGTTTATACTATTACTAGGTAGGTATTGAATTTTCTCATTTCCCGTTTTACCAAAACTCCAATGAAACACCGAATAAAATTCAGAATAGCACGTCAAAGAAAACAATAACAGCAGTTGCACAAAGTTGAAATCAATGCAGCTACATTGCGTATAAAGGAACGGATAAAGGAAACGGGGCGTAAAGGAACGTCGCTGACCCGATGTTGTTTTGTTTCTTATACAATTTGAAGACTCGTTACATTATATAAGTTTACGCTTTAGTTATTCAAAGAATGAACACATTTGACCTGTTCTAAATTCAAAATATCGGCCATTCTCCAATTGGTTCACTCCATTTTTATTTTTTACTTAAAGAAACAAATTCCCTATTTTTTTTGTTATACCTCTAAAAAATTGTGGATGCGGGTTGCCTGATTGTAAGTAATATGTGCCACCCATTAAAACACTAAAGCGGTTGCTGTGTGATTACTCACAAATCTTTAACTCCCTTGAATTGTCAATTGTGGATTGTGATCAACACTTTATTTTTTTAAAAGGCTAATTCTAATACTAGGGCTACAAAGGCTAGTACTCCAGTCAAAGACTGCAAAAATGGCTGATGATAACAATGAAAATTATTGGTTCTATATGTCACATCACATCACACCATCGCCTATAAGTACCCACTGCTAAGCAGAGTATTCTCACACGGAGAAGGTTTGATCATTAATCATCACACTTGCTGAAGGCGGATTGGCGATTTCAAACTTAGTATTAGAAATTATTAGTTCACGTTTCCTCATTATGTTTTCCTTTATCGTGAATCAGTAGTGTCTTATAGTTCGGCCGTTCAGAGAATGCGTTCCTGACACGTCGCGATTGAGCTGACGACGTAACTTTGTAAGTTGCAGTTACGATAAAAATATGTTTGCGCGTTGTTTACCGTTTTAACAATTGATGAGCATTAAAACAACATTATTATATAAATACAAAAAATTGTATAATTTTGTGCCAAACTGAGTGTCAAATAACTTGGTAAACAATATTTTTCTAAATCTATACTGCGCTATTACAAGGTTATGTCAGCGCTTTATATTTGTAGTGCTGTGCTAACAATAACAGGCAATAACAGTATCGTAATCTGTTCTTATACAGTTATACTTAATAAAATAATACGTTTTGTTTTTCATTTTAATAATTGAAAAATTGGTTATGGAACATTTTGACCGAGATATCAGGATTGATTCTGTAATTGATAATAATATAAATATACATGTAGGCGAAGATGATGATGGAGACACCACCTCCTCAAGCGAATCGGAGTCTGATTAATATTCTGTACGTACGTTCAATTCAATGTACTTTATTGCATAGAAATACAGATTGTAACTTTGTAACAAAGAATAAATAAAACAATTTTATTATATTAATATTACCTTTTTTGGTTTCCACTTAAATTACCAAAATATAAATTTTAAATGATTCCGAAAATTTAAAACGAAAATAATCTTAAAAATAACGCGGCTTCATTTTGGCGGAACGGTAACGAACTCAGTGTTATGTTGTGCCCATCACTAGTCGTGACTATCTGATAGGTGTCAGGAACGCATTCTCTGAACGGCCGAACTATAATGAATATAGAAAGTATATATAACTCGTAAAAGTCACATTGGTACTTGCCAAGTTTCCTATATACCCACATAATATAATGTTTGTACTTTATCACATAGTCTGATGACGTAACTGATATAGTGTATAAAATAAAAAAAATAAAAATGTATTTTGTATCTGTACCTAAAGTCTTTAGGCAATAAAACTCATGTCCCTGTTCATAATTTTTCACTGAAATAAACAAAAAAAATCTCACATGAAATGGAGTTAAACAGAAAATGATAACTTTACTGTCCTCCACACGTATGTAACAGGCTGTTTACAGTCCCTTTAGGCATTTGTTTGAATTTCAACAAATCGTTTGAAACCTTTATAATATTAAAATGCTTAAATACTCGTCCAGCGATTCTCGGAGCACTGTTTGTCTTTGTACTTTTTTCTTGTACAGCTAAAACGGTCAGATATTTGTGGATTTTGTAAATATTTGATTATTATGAGTTGGAAAAAATTATAAGTGATCTGTGTAGGTGTATTTTAGTTTTTTATTGTTATTTATATTTATTAAAACTTTTTCCGCTCTTGGATTTTCTTCTGTCATAGTTCATTTTACAAACATATAACTGCACCAATAATTTGTGAATCACACAATGATTTTTTTCGACGTGGGAATGGAAGCCGCACGGAACAACGGCTTGTTAAACTAGTTTTTACCGTGCATACGGTACAAAAAAATATTACATTTTTAATCATTTTGCACAAGTCCTAGAATAAATTAGACTAAAATTGTATACAAAATCCATAAGAAACTCCAACTCGTCCCACCCAAGCCGGAAAAAATCATTGAATTCCCCACCTCAAAAGAAAAATATCTCTCTTAAGAATATAAGCATACTGACAACCAACAGAATAATATGGTGTTCATAGCGTAAACCGAAAAACCCATCGAAAGAAGCAATCAAACGTAGGTGGGTACCCAAGATTTCCTTCATATAACGCCCTTATTTCTTCATAATCGGTCAGGGGCACTTAGCTCCGGTTTGAGACGTTTATTGACGTGAAGAGCTCGAAGGGCGATCATGGACCCTTATCAAAGTCCCACCGATTCACGCACCTGCCAATCGATAGCTTTTGTTTACTGAACGCCTCTCTACAAGTGAATTGCGGATAGTGTTAGTTACTTACTACTTGAACTCGAATGTAGAAGACATGGCTTTCGCGTCCGGCCTTACTCTAAGCCTTGGCGAAGTGAGAGTAACTACGAAGCCGTCTCCTATTTTTGCTACGCAGTTATGCTCGCAAAGAGAACTATCTTCCTTGCGCTCCAGTCGCTTTAGTAGGCGGCATTCTGGCCATCGGAGATTGAGCGACCACTGTAACAGTTGCGGACTCAGACACGAGCATGCGGCGCGTAGCGTTCCTCGCGTGTCTCAAAAAGCTATTAGCCTAAAAGACCGATGTTCAACCAGGGTTGCGAGGTAAGCGCAATAAGGTATCGCCACACAGCTCAAAGCAGACGAACGAACAGTGTGGGTTTAGTAAGAGTTTGACACTTCCTGTCGCTCCATCTACGCCGAGAGGAGTCATTTGTTGATGTCTTCCCTGAAATAAAAGATACTATTATCCTAAACAGTCAAAATCATTACAATAGTTTAAATAACAAAACTATTAAAAATGAGAAGAAATATTTCTAAAAGAAAAAGAATATAAGTCCATCTAAAGGCCCGTAGTAAGGGTTATTTGAAGGCATTGTTTCAGAATCAACGTCTATCGGTTCTGTACAAATACGATCGCCATAATGCGACTGGCCAAGCTTTTGGCCTATTGGATATTTAGAGACATTGTGACCGCCAATATTGTTTGGAGCCAATTCAGGCCAATATTTGGCACTACAAAGGTTGGCTGTTTGGTGTTTGTTTGCAGTTTAAACGTAAATGAATAGAACATTACATTCCTGTGTGGTAGCTGATGCGTGCATGATAAATTGATTATTATGATATAGAATATTAAGTTTAAATTCCTATAGTAAAAAATAACGTTTGCAATTGATAGGTTAATGTCTTTGAAGGGCTAGTATTTAAATGAAATCGGCATACAGTTATACTGGTAAATTTATAAGTGAACCAAGCTCGATGCTTAAACGATTGAAGTTTTGTGTTATTGCTGCGAATTTTCAAATAAATAAAAATAATACAATATAATAATATAGTTTATTTAATTCCATACATGATACGAAGTAATGATAATAATATTTTTTTCTAAAATTACCTACAATTAAACTTTAAATTACTTGTGAGTTTTATACTATCTATAAACATTATTTATACTATTTTCTACCTAAAGCCGTGGCAGTTATTTTTATAGCCACATATATGTCATCATCATCATCATCAGCCTATAAGCTCACTGCTGAGCAAAGACCTTCTCACACAGACCTTTAAAAAAAGACCTTCTCACGCAGAGAAGATTTGCCACCACGCTTGGTCAAGAAAAATTGCAAGGCAAATTGGCGATTTAATTTTCAAAATTATAATTGAAAATGATAAGTCCTGGTTTTCTCACGACGTTTTTCTTCACCGTATACCAGTGGTGTCTAAATAATAATAGAAAGTACATTCAACGAAAAAGTCACATTGGTACTTGCCAGCGTTTGAAGCCGCATGAGAAGCGGGCCTTAACCTCCGGGCTACCACGTAACTTTTGTCCTAAGATGTATAGGGTTGGTAAAATTAGATTTTATTAAAAAAAATCTCACATCAAATCTTTGAAGCTCCCTCACACAATTGTGAATGTGACAACGATATGACTGCGGCATATTTTCCATCTATCATACAGAAGCCATACAAGCAACTACGTATGACAGATTTGCTTCACACGATGTGCGACAATGGAGGCGCTCGCTCTCGTCTCAAAAGCGGCTTTCAGTAATCCTCACCAAGTACCACACTGACTTGACTCAATACATCTCCTATAATAGTTTCAGTGGAAATTCTTCACTATTTATATTATTAAATAGCGCTCAAAATTTATTGTGATTTTAAGCTCTTTGTGTTATAAGGTTGATGAATTAAATTATGATAATTGGTCCGTGAATATTTTGATAGTAGTTGTTTTAATTGGTTTAAATTGTACGTTTTGTTTTTGAAGTTGTAAAGTGCAGCTTTTGTTTCTACGATAGCTTAGGATTAATAATTAATTAACGGACTATCAAATATTTCAGCACTCATAAACCTAACCTGTATTATTTTTTTAATATGTCAACTTTTTAATATTTTCGTTTATTGTTGTAAGCCAATTTTTACTTTTTATTTCTTTTTTCGTTAATTTGGCTACAAATTAAAAAATAATCAGATTTTGAATCTATTTGAAAAAGAGTTAAGTATCATGGATTTTCTTACTTGTCTTTCTCCACCGGAATCTACTTTGGAAAGATCAAATAGCTTCACTAGAGGACTGACCGGCAGACTGACACCTTTATTTTTAAATCTTTTTTTGATGTGCAGAAAGTACCTATAATAGTCTGATTGAAAAACATGGAATGACTTTGACTTTTACCTTGAATAAATGTGCATATGACTGAAATAGAAGTACCTATATTTTTTATGCGAAAGGTTATTTGTATATTTATTTTCTTTAAAATAACCATTGCCCCACATTGATTTTTGACTTATTGATTTTTTACAATGCCCGCGGACTCGGGGTCCGTGCCCTTGTCAAACAATATACAGAAAACATAACTAAAATTACATACTTAAATAATACGGATTTTACACACAACAAACTAACCACAAAAATATAGTATTTTATAGAAATAACATATAATAATAATACAATCTAATTAATATTACGTACTTTTATCGATGGCTCTGCTAAGTCAGCCCACTAACACACTGGGTGAGCCTGCTCCAGCAATCAGCCATCCAATCATGCAATAGGGTAACAAACGAGTAGACTGATTACCCGATGGTAAGCATTCAGCGCTGCCCATGGACACCTACACCATCAGAGGGGTAACGAGTGCGTTACCGCATTTTTTGGGATAAGGGTTCGCAGATTTAGAGATTGGGGAAGGATGGAAGTGAGGTAGGATTAGGCCTCCGGTAAGCTCATTAACACGGCGACACGAAACGTTGTGTACCTTTTCAATTTTAGTTCTTTTTTACTATTCAAACCTTAAATTTTCACTAAACGATCTCAACACCGCTAACAAAGATAAATATTTTTCTCTTAATTAATTCGATCGTTAATTAATGGCTCCCATTAATTTTCCATTCAACTAGTGTTTAATTAAAACGTTACGCGTTTTACAATATTATTACTTAGGCTTGGGACACGTTTTAAATAATTCTTGCCTAAAGAATTATCTTCGCTGAAACGACTTGAATTTGTTAATGTTAGCGTTCCATTGTAGGCTTTCAGGATTTTCGTAGGTACACAACGTTCCTTCGTTTGTTTTTCATTCATCTAATTTGACGGATCTCTTGAGTCTAATTCTGTGTCACTTCTAATGTATTTTGAATTTGGATTTTTCTGAAAAGTTTTTTAGTTACTGGTTTCTTGAGATTGTGAATTTAAAAGAAAATGTCTCATTTGATCAAAAGTTATCTGAATTTATTTTTTAATCGTAGTTTTATAAGTAAACTAGCTAGCTAGCTGTCCCCGCATTGCACGTGTTCAACTATTTCATTAACAATGAAAGGGTCAAATTTTCCCAATTTTCTCCTCTATTTTCTTAATATTTTCTTTGATAAAACTTCAAAAAATTGGTATAATAATTGTTCTAGGAGTTTTGAGTTATGCGCTTACCTTTACATTTTCTGTTAGATTTTTATATAATAGATAACTTTTTAACAACCATTCTTCCCTACAATTAAAGAATGGACCTAATTTTGGATAGTTGTAGACTCAAGCAGTAATACGGTAGTTTCCAACTAGTCAAATTCAAAACTTTTATACAAACGTCAAAAACGATACTTTTCTATGAAATTTGCATGAAAAACTGAGCTTTGACGTCATAACATTTTTGCGTCAAATAGCTTACTTATTTCACAATAATTAGCTAAAAAAAATCTAAAACATGGTGTATCGATCGATCGATGAATAAAAGTATAGTTGTTTTTCAATAGTTTATTGTATTGAAACATCCAATTAATTTATTTTTGACCTAGGAAACTACCCAATTATTCATCAAACCATAAGCGAACGCTAGAGCACCTATTGTCTTACTGTTGTGACTCCAATTATCACGATAGAAAAGTTAATAAACCTATAGTAAAGATCGACGAGGAAGATTTCTATTAAGTACTTTACTAATCACAACAGAAAAAATCAAATATTTCGTTACAAATAAATACATTATTGTTTAAAGCCACTATTTGATGACGAACTCGACTAGTTTCAGCCTCCACTAAGGGCTCATATTCCTGAGCAGCATTGGGCGACAGTTATAGTTTATTCTTCAACCAAAGCCTTACCTCAGCTGGGGTTGCGGGGTAAGCGCAATGAGGTACCGCGACCTCGGCACAGAGCAGGAGAAGGAACAGGGGGGTTTTTAGTCAGTAAGAGTCTGACACTCCCTCCTGCCCGGCCCTGGGCGGGAGAAGTCATTTGATGATTTTCCCCTCACAAAAAAAAAACCAAAGCCTTACCTAAAACTATTCCTTTCTTCCAGATCATTGGCCGTCACCTCCGAGAGCAAAAAGCTCGAAATAAGAACACAGCGGTATCACTCCTGGATTGTGCCCTTCGAGGAGTGTCAGTGCTATCCTCTTCATCAGTATCAGAACTAGCTGGAGTTGGATTGCATGGACTAGTCATATCTTCTGGAGACATAAGGAGGGTACAGCAAGGAGCGTTTAGCACTGTTGCCAGTAGTTTATTTGCTTTGGGTAAGTTTGATAAACATAATTTAACTTTCGTGTGTTTTAGACGTGGATCCACGCGAGACACAATATTCTTAATATTGTGTCTTATAAACCGACATTCAACGGGTTAGTAAATGTTAAGATAAAAATGTGGGTACGAATATTTGAATAAATTTTGTTGTTAAGAATAACAGCAAAATTAAGTTATGAAGGAATAGGAAGTAAGACCTAGTTTTTAATATACACTTTTCTCCCGTTAGGTAGAACAGATAATTGAATTCTCGAACTGGTTATAATATTTGTTTTGTTATTTGTTAGACTGTTGCTTTTCTGATTGTTACCTGGATAATAATATTTTTTAACGTCTAGTTGTAATTGTATTTTAAATAACAACCTTTTTTCGGGCTATATATTAATTATTTTATAACAATAGCGCTGATAACCGCGACTTAACATAATACCGGCGTGAAACAACGCTCGTATTATGTTTCGCCGTGTGAGTGAGGTAGCCGAAGGCTTGATCATTTCCCCATCCCCAATTTTGAAACACCACAATCATAAACTGTAACCCCTAAAAGACATCCATACAATTCCTCAGACACCGATTCCTTGATCAGGTGCTCCGTCTGTGACTCTATTCGACAAAAGAACAAATATACAACTAACACCCGGTTTCTGAAAGGCTTATCAACGCTAAAATTAACTAATCTTCTGTTAAATCTCTTGTCAAGTCATCTGATTGGTTGTTGACAATTCAGTCAACCAATCAGATGACTTGACAAGAGATTAAATTGATTTTAACATTGATCGGCCTTTCGGAAACCGGGAGTGGGTATTTTATTTAGTAAGAGAGTTTTAAGTAAAGGTTTTAAGAAAACACCCTTAATGAATCACTAAAGAAAAACCCTTGAAACGAAATAATGAAGCTTTAAAACCTCTCGGAACATAGTTAGTTCAACACGTAGGGCTTACATACCAAGTCCACTGGCTCGACGTGTTTACCCCCACCGTTTCGTGTACTGTTCCCTAATTCCATTTGCAATCAAGATACACGGTTAGCGACACTGATGTAGATAGCTGGAAAGCGTTGTGTCGTTGTCCTTAAAAAAATATTACAGTTGTTTATAGACCTATTTTTGTATAATGTGTTTTGTTGTGTATTTAACAGTTTAGTACTATGCTTTATTAAAGAGACAATAATTTTATTAATGATAACGACTTACTCACGTGAGTAAACTGAAAAAATCTAGACTAGTCATAACGGGATTCTCAATCATGAATATGGCGGGTGTCGCTGTGTCGAGTAGGCGATTCTCAGTCAGCTTTAACTAGTAGAGTTTTTCTGAATAAATTATCGTAAGACGTTATTATCGATACATTGAAATTGGATTTATTTGAAACTCATGGCTCATTTAATAATTTATTGGAATAAAATAAAAATTTTAATTTATCAAATTTAAACGTTTGCGTTCTAAACTTTAAGCAGTTTCTGATTGAAAAATAAAAACGAAAATTTAATAAATGGTCTATTTATTAAATTTTCGTTTTTATTTTTCGATACCACATCTAGTCCGGTTTACATCTAGGCTCATCTGTACCGTTCGGAGCTACAAATGTGTTAGTATTGTTCATAAAACAGCCGAGTACCTGTGGAAGTAGTCATGAATACATCAACACCTAATTTCGGGGGAGTTACAAAGGAACTTCGTCCTAATGAAAATGACTTAGGTACGGTTATGGCCTTTAGTACTTATTTGATTCTAGGTAACAGTATTAGAGAAAGTTTTTACTATAATTGAGTTAGGTATTACTATCAATATTTTATTTTTATGTCTGTCTTTTTGTGTTATTGTGTTTTAAACCCTTACCCCACACTAGGATTTTCTTCTATGAAAATATTGACATTCTCCATTTTGTTACAGGTCTTCCAAACAACCAGCTGTCAGTGGTACCGACTGAAGCATTGACCAGACTATGGAACTTAGATCGCTTAGATTTGTCGAATAACAAAATTCATACTTTAGACTCTAATTCGTTTAAGGTAAGATTCATTTTGAATTATTTTCATTTAAATTGCTTTGTGCTAATATTGGCAGTTTTCGTTAAAGTTTATTCGTGGTTTAAGAAGATATACTTTAATAATAAATTCATTATGAGAAAATAAACATTATATTCATATAAGATGTTCTAAAACTTATTTTATATTTTCAATTGCTGTATTTGTGATTTGATAACCAAAAAAGCATATAAACAAATAGACAGATTACCCCATAGCAACATAAGAAACAGTTCACAGTTATTTGTTCCATCTGCATGTAACTCATGTTATGACAAATAAATGATCTATCTATCTATCTATCTATCACATATCTATGGATTACCGGATGGTAAGCAATTGACGCCGCCAATAGACAGTTACAATACTTCTTTTGGGAGTTAAAAATTGCAGAGTTGTGGTTTCGCAAATAGGAGAATATGGGATTGGGAAAAGGGGTGGGGGGGAGGAAAGGTGCAGGTTTTCATGAATCCTGTATTATATTAAAATCAAAAGAACTTAATTAAACCTAATTGAAATGTTTTTTCACAGGGTGTTAAGAATTTGACATATTTGGATCTAAGTGACAACCAGTTGACGGATATATTAGAAGGAGCTTTCGTGCCGCTGGTCAAACTATCTGTTCTTAGGCTAAGAGGCAATCTACTGAAAGTAGCGACCCTGGTCACATTGAAGGTAAATTAATATTATAATTTACTGTTAAAATGTTTTCAAAATATAATGTTAAGGTGTTACACACAGTGCTATTTATGAGCCTAGAAGTGAAACCTGTAAATGGTCTACGTATTAAACGCCGTGAAGAAATTAATCTTTCAAAAGAACCGTCAACCGATATCTTGTATAATTTACATTTAAAAATGGAACAGCCATCCTGCCTGGTGGAGTGATACCACGTACCTCGCAGAAAACCGGCGTGTAGCAGTTTCGCCGTGTGAGTGAGGTTAGCGAGGGCTCAATGCTTACACGGTCTTCTTACGCGCTTATTCTCCTTTGTAAATTTTATTTTACATAGTTTCGAGTGCTAGTGCAATACGCAACGTACAACGGCTCTGGTCTGGAGCAGAAGAAGGAACAGGGCGGTTTTTAGTCAGTCATACTGTCACTCGATTAATTTGACTGATTATACTTTGAAAGATGTATATATATTATATTTCTATGCCGATGCTACGGCAAAACATGCAGAACTTATAAGAAATGTTACATCTATGTACCCCGTGTTTCATACAAATAAAGATTTCTTATTCTTATTCTTTCTTAGATATACTATTAAGACAATTACTTCAAATATCGAACAAAAATGCTTTGACATCCATACAAGTTACTTAGATTAAAATAACCAATGACTACACTTTTATTATATCTAATCGCTGAAATGTAATAGAAATATCCTGAAAAACTACAATTTTCATGAATCTTATTGGCGCCCACCGTGGGACTAAAATTGATCCTTTTACAAAAAAATTATTTACTTCGTAATACTCGTTCATAAATACCTTATTATTTATCAATCATCTGTAATTTTCTTACAGAGACCCTTATAACAACGAAATATGAACTAAATTAAGCTTATTCAATACGAATAAGAGTACTGATAATAATATAATAATAATAATTAGTTTATTTACTCAAAAAACAGTACAATACAGTTCTTACAAAAACTAGGTTGACAAAACTTAAAATAAAGAGAAGTAGCATCTGCAGCCGAACTAGGCGTGAGCCTGTATTTCAGCTTACAGCACCGTTCCCCTCAGGAACAGTTTATAAAGTAACCTAACTTAGTAAGATGCAATGCAATATAATAACAAATTAGGTAACTTAAATTACTTAGATTTGTAAATTATGCCTGATAGACGATTTGTATTAAGTTTCGTTTTAAGGGTAAAATTTTTCATATACTTTGTAATACCGATCTCTGTCTGAATAGAAGATATGAATATCGCAATCAACGGGAAGACGAAGAGAAGAAATGTAATCGGTGGGTTTTGAATACCGTGACAGATTATCATCAACTACAATAGATAGGCAAAATACATATATCACCAATTTGGTCAAATATGAATTGTGTATATCGTCTTGATAGCCCGGTTCTTCTCTTTCCAAATTTTTTCGCCTCACATAACAAAACCAGCAGTTTGAGTAGTCAATCTAGATTTAGATAATAAAATAAAAACAAAGAAGTCTTTTAAAAAGTAAGATGCTATGAAAGAAGAAGCATCAGTAGAAACACAATTGATTACTGCACGGCTGATGCGGTGGCTGGGCAACTGGCTGCCGTGCAACGTGTCGCGGGTTCGATTTCCGCACGGAACAACCCTTTGTGTGATCCACAAATTGTTGTTCCGGGTCTGTGTGTCACGTGTATGTGAAATTGTATGTTTGTAACCGCACCCACGACACAGGAGAAAATCCTAATGTGGGGCAACGTATTTACGTTTTTAACAAAAAAAAAATATTTTTGCAGGAGGCCAACATGCTAAGGGATCTAGATTTGTCCAGTAATGCGTTAGAAGGACCTTTAGGTCCGTCCACAGTCCCTGCCCTGAGCTGCCTCAATACACTTCAGTTGTCAGATAATACTTTTGCCAGCATACGACGAGGCGCTCTTTCTGGTAAGTTGAAACTCATAATTATAATTATAGTATACACTATAGTGTTTAAGGAGATCTAAAAGATTCAACAATAACTGCCTTGTGGATCGCAATGTTGAGCATTGGATCTGATTAACAAAACGGACAAAGTACTATTAAAGTTTTGTGCTTTTAATTTTTTTACGGACCTAATGGTCGTGTTGGATGTTAATGCGCCCACTTTTCATTTGAAACCTGATAAGTACCAATGTGACTTTTTCCAAGTACTTTCTAACATAATTTAGACACCACTGACATACGGTGAAAAAATACATCGTGACGAAACCTGGATTAATATATGGATAAGTAGGTAATCAAACTTATAATTTATTTATTATGATAATGTAAGCTCGCAGCTTATGTATAAAAAGTAGTTAGAAGTATTCGTTTTAGGTAGGTTGGTCTTATACATTAGCCAGTCACGAGCTAACCAACATTCTTAAAATTATGCGTTTGTACTGACAAAAAATTATAATAATTATTATAAGTTTGAAACTGCCTTGAGCAAGCGTAGAGATTAATCCTGTGTGAAAAGAGCCCTTTGCTCACGTATGGGCTAGTGATGATGATGATTGGTAAGCGATCAGCGCCTTCTATACACAGCCACAACACCAGAAAAGTCACAAGAGAAAACCGACTTTTCTGAAACAAGAAAATGGTGACGAACAATTCCTTTTATTCTTTAAAATTGTACTCATCAGAGCTTGAATATTGAACGGTATTCGCGTACAACTCTACATGCATATGCATGGAATAAGTCTGACATCTCAACAATCTCATAAAAGATGTACGAATACATACTTATACTGATTTAATTTCAATTTAAATGCATTGTGTATGGGACTCCGCGTTTTGTTTGACTTCTATTTTATTCGCATTTCTCCGTACTTTAAAGCGAGATAGATAGGTCGACGAAGACTGACGAATTTGAACGTGTTTTTTATTTATTAATCCAATGAGTTTAATAATAAAAAGTATGTATTACCTTACATGACATGACGTCACTTATTTGTGTAATAAGCTTTTATTTTAACTACCAATGTATGAGTGTTTCTAAAAAGGATTTTAGCAACAAAATTTTGGTGTAGATGTCTTCATCTGATTGAGCTGAAATTTTGTTAACACTGTTACTTTGCATGACAATGAATTTTAGGTTTACTTTTACATACTCTAAATCCACAAAAAATATCTATGTATAAAGTGTTTAGCCCAGAACGGCATTGTCCCATCTGGTGAAGATGGTTTTAAAAAAGGAATTTTCATATTAAATTAAATAATTTATAAAGTGTTGTAAATAAAAATATTAGAGTATAATACATTTATACAATGTTTTTAACTACCTATAAGTGTCATGTTAAGTGTAGTAAGCCTTTTATTATGAAAGAGAGCGAAAGAGTAAGAATCTGACACTGTCTCTCGCCTCACCCTGGGTGAGAGATGACATTTAATGATTTTCCCGTCTAAAAAAAATGGATTTTGTTCTTCATGAAACACATCTCCAAATGTCGCGCATTTGTAAGATTTTTTGAAAAAGTAAAACAAAAACAGCTAACACTAGAATATGAATGGTATGGGCGGATAAGCGATTTCAAACTTATGATTATAAATTATTAGCGGCGCGGATGTAGATTATACACATTTTCAGGATTTTTTTTTTAATTTCTCTAAGTAAAAAACTTTTCTGGACTTCCACGACAAATTCAAGATCAAAATCAGTCAAATCGGTAAGGCATTGTTGAGTTATAACATTACAACGAAAACTGGTATTGATTTTCATATATATCTATAGATAGATAAGTCCAGGTTTCCAAGAACCGTATCACACAGTGAAGACCCGAAACAAAATTCATAGTGTTAGTACCAGACGACGCTTCAAACATGCTTACTGAAAATCCTCTAATTCACCGTCCATGTTCCCAGGTCTCACGAACTTAACTCATTTGAAGTTACACAACAACCAAATAGATGTTCTAGAGGACTATGCGTTCAAACACATTGCTAACTTGACACACCTGGATTTGTCCCACAACGAGATCGTCGCCGTCTCTGGTAAGTTTTAGTATTGTGTACCTAATTATTGTAATAGTAAGGTTTGGTTTTCTTTGTTCTGTTGTGTTTTTGGACCAGTGAGATATTGCAAATGTAAGTTTGTGTTGTTTGTAAGTGCATTTTTCGTTTCGAGTCTATTTTTTTTTTAAATACGTTGCCCTATACACTAGGATTTTCTCCTGTGTCGTGGGTGCGATTTCAAACATACAATTTCACATACACATCACACCCAGACTCGGAACAACAATTTGTGGGTCACACAAAGAGTGGATCCGTGCGGGAATCGAACCCGCGACACGTTGCACGGCAGCCAGTTGCGCAGCCACCGCACCAACCGTGCAGTCAAAACAGAGTTTGATTTATAATTTTTTTTATAGTATTCAAACAACATTTAATGAAAATAACGACTTAATCACGTGAATTAATAAGCAACGAGCGCATCGCGACGACGTGTTTTGCTCATGAACAAGAGACCCGTTGTGACTCGAAATTAGTAGAGCTGTTCTCAGTTAATTAACTCAAAAAAGTCGTAATTTTTATTAATTAAATAAATCAATTAGTTGCTTGCGTAGACAAGGAGAAAATATTGGATGGAAGCCTACCAAACAATAGTATCCAAAAAGCATTTTTTTTAATGAAAAAAAAAACTTGAGGCAATATAAATCTATCGCAATCTACTTGATGACGATTGAAGATTGATTGATGAAATATTCGTGACACAAAATGGACAACAGAAAAAAATACAATTGAAGTTTTTTTGCTTGTTTTAATAATCACGAAACGTTTAATATTACGACTATCAACTTACCTCTTCATTAGTCCAGATAACGTCTATTAAAAAAAGCTTTTAGTCAATTTCGTGACGTTTTAATTTCCGGCAAAGAATCCGTGTTGCCTTGGGCCGAACGGAAATAAGGAGGAAAAGTATTTTAAAACATTTAGTTAGGTACTTCTTGTAAGATTTGTTGAAAACGATTCTGATAATATGGAATTAAAGTAACGTTTTTTTTAAACAGCTTTCTTAATTTAAGGCCTTTATACATTTAAAAAGGTTGGATAAATTCAGCGATTTTATACTTCAGCTCAGTGTATAATACGTATACGTAATGTCAATACTGAACAACACAAAAATAAAAATTAAGAAAAAAATCCTGATGAAATCCATGTTTTTTTTACTTTTTCAATATACATAGCTGGATTGCTTATAGAAAGCGTCCATTTTTAATAAAAACAAAAGGAATTTCTGAATTTTCGATGGTAGCTCAATTATTTTTTATTTAATATTGCGGAAATGGAGCGGAATTGATTTTACCTGATGGTAAGCAATCGGCGCCGCCCATCGACGTCCGCAACACCATAAGAGTATCGAGTTTATTGCGCCCGCTGGCTAATGAGGATTAGGGTTTCGAGATTCAGAGGTTGGGATGAGATGGGTGGAGGGAAAAAATTGGGCCTCTGGTAACACGGTTATTCTTCAGGTAACTCACTTACACGGCAGAACACAACGTTGTGGTTGTTTTACGTCGGTCCATTGTGAGGGTGAGCCGACCCATTCGATTGTTCTTCCACACTGTTTTTTCTTTTCTTTTCCACTTTAGACAGGACAGATAGTATTTTTTAATGCATATATAAATTGACTAACTATCTCTTTAAACAATTAATATAAGAACCCATTTAATAAAATTGTTAATGAAAAAAGAAAATTTAATTTTCTTTGAGTTTAAATACGTTAGTTACTGAGCATGGAACATAGGTATTTTTTATTTTTTCTACGGGAATTCGTTTAATATTGAAGAGAAAAGGCATGTTAATATTTTGGTAAAATTTTGATTAATCCTTTATGAATTTTATTTATTTTTTTTATAAAAATAATATGTTTTATGACATAGCTTTGGTTAATTGATTAAACTGCACAGTTGGTGCGGTGGCTGGGCAACTGGCTGCCGCGCAACGTGTCGCGGGTTCGATTCCCGCACGGAACAACTTTTGATCTACATATTGTCTGTGTCTGGGTGTGATGTGTACGTGAAATTGTATGTTTGTAAATGTATCTACGACACAGGAGAAAACCTTATTGTGTAGCAACGTTTTGTTCTGAAAAACAAATTAAGTAAATAATTAATTACACTCACTCAGTCACTCATTGGTCAAGTTTTGTTAATATTGGGGACGATTTATTCTGTTTTTGTATAACAGTTCATTAAATATTAATATCATTTAGCAAAACAAATCTGTTCAATATTAGTTCAAATCTTGTTATTTTCATTTTCCATACAACTAGGTGAATATATAAAAATACGTATTTCATTTATTAATGAGGCGCTGTTATATTAATATTTTTTAGCCTTTCTAACTTTTGAAAAACTAACTTTCCAACACCATTTTAAATTAAAAAATACTTTTCTGAAATATTATGACGTATTATTTGTTCGATCTCATAACAAACTCACGGAAAATTATCCATTTTTGACATTTCCAAAAAGTAATGAATTTTACTAGGTTAAAAATGCGTTTTTCAGTGTCTCGTGTAAAATTAATAGAAACTACACATTAAACTTAGATAAAACGTTTGATCAATATTTGCGACTTATAAATAAATGTAATTAAATTAACAGGAGCATCTCTGGCACAGCTAACGAACTTGGTTCACCTGGACCTGTCTCACAATTTTCTTCGATCTCTCTCTGCTGAACCACTGAAGTCACTTCGGCGACTGACCGAGTTACTACTCCATGATAACGATATTTCGATGATAGATGACGAGGCTTTGGCGCTGCACAAGGATCTCGGCCGGTTCACCATTGAAGGTAATGGAAGAACGATGATACGCACTTTGGTTATACATACTGTTAAAAAAGATGGCGGATAATACCTTTTTATTACTCTTAAAATTTGAATTTGGAATTCTGAGCCGACAATTGAAATGTTTTTTCAAATTTAAACGTAATTATTTTATCTTTACAATGACCTGTAACAAAAATAAAAAATAATCATACACTTTCTTTGGTTGATATTGTTTTAAATAAGATTTTAGATTTTTTCTACCTAATCGAAGAAAACTTAGTACTAGTTTGACATTGGCGCCAAAACAATATGGCGTCCTAAGCCTCTTACTAAATACACAGATAATAAAAGTACAAAAAAACTTTATTTAACAAGCTTATAATTAGAATAAAGTAGTTGCCTATTGTATAAAGGTATATAATAATAACGTAAAAAATATTGCTGTTGCTGGCCGGATTCCTCTATCGATGTGTATCGAAGAGATATTTGTCGATGCCCAACGTCTCACTGAGGTGACGTCGAGCCGTCTTTGTTCGACCGTCGATATCCTCGTGGTATATTGTTGCGTGACTCTTAACTATTTCTGCCTTTGTAGTTCCCACTCTTTATGTTTTTTTTTTCTAAGGAATAATCCTGGCCTCTGACACTTTTGTCGACGTAAATACATTTTTCTAGCGCAATTTTTTACACAGTCATAAAAGGAAAATAGCTACACTGTTTAATGTATTGGAATGATGTTGTTGTTATTATTCGGGTGTTTTTTGGAGATTATTCAATTAGTTGACTTATGTACGAGTATGTTGGACTTAGAGATCATTTTAAGATTCTTTTTTCAGACTTCAGTTTATAAAGGCCTAGATTTAAGTCAAGAGATAGAAATATACGTGCAGAATTGCTAACTTAAGAATCGGAGTATACCTAATACTCGTATGCAGTGTATCTATTTGCAAAATAATATACAGAAATCTTAAAGTAAACATTTAAACAGCATGAAAGTTTAATGCAAAACAATATTAATTGTGCAACTTAAAACAACATTAAACAGGGGAGGGCAAAATTCAGTTTCCATATCAAAAGTAACAAAAAGTTAAATTGCATGGAATCAAATAAGCAATTACTCATACTTTAAACTTCCTCAGTAAACTTCACCCACATTTATTCGGGGTCGTAAAGATAAATTCTGCTCTCTTTTGCAGATAATCCTCTTAATTGCGATTGCCTAATGGCCGGATTCGCAAGGTGGTTGAGGGAGGCAAAAAACCTGCCCCAAACAGATAAATCTGCTGCCGTGTGTGCCACTCCGCCGCATTTAGAAGGTGCTTTACTATCTAGATTGTCGAAGAACAAACTTTGTGACGACGAACATGCAGAAAAACAGAAAGACACGAATTATGATTATAACAAAGTACTAGCGAATTCCATAGTTGATGATTATAAGGTTGCCGTTGAGGATACTGCTGATGTTTACGTTGATAAGCAAGAAGGTTTAGATGATGATTTGTATGATGAAGAGTTGGAAATGCCTGCTGAAGAGGATTTGCCAATTTCTGATGCTAAGGTAAGATATGGGGTTTAACTTGGATTTTCATGCACAAGGACGTAGGTGCAAAACCTGGCAACGATTGAATTTTTTTCGAATTATTCATATCTTTATGTATTTATAAGTAAATACCACTAACAAACGGTCAATGAAAACATCGCGAGATAACCTGAACATATAATTTCTAAGTAGAAGTTTGTAATCGCCAATCCACCGTGAGCAACGTGGTGATTAATTCTGAAACTGACTTCAGTTGAGAAGTGGCCTTTGCTGGAGAATGCTACTGATGATAATGATGATGATGTTTGATATGTAAATGATAAACATTAAAGTCTTATTATACATACATAGATGAATGGATCAGGTTTTTTTAATCCTATAAATATTACAAAAAAGAATATAAGTATAAAACCTCTTTAAGTTCACATAAGGAATGAGTCACGTCAAACAAATAATCTTTGTTACACAATCCGATAATTATTTCACCTATCAGATTGTGGAAACACCTAAAATTGAATTTAATATGCTTTTAGATTAGGTTTAATATCCGTTTTAGAGGTGATTTTATTGAATTTTTCACACATTTATCTCATTCACCTCACGGATTACCTGAAGGTAAGCAATCAGCGCCGCCCATGGACACTCGCAACGGAGGAGTTACGAGTGCGTTTCCGACCTTTTAGGGATAAGGGATTTTGAGATTTAGGGATTTAGGAGGGATTGGGGGAGGGGAAGGATATGGCCTCCGGTAACCTCACTCACACGGCGAAACACAACGCTGTGGTTATTTCACGCCGGTTTTCTGTGAGGCCGTGGTATCACTCCGGTCGAGCCGACCCATTCGTGCCGAAGCATGGCTCTCCCACACTTAACCTCCCAAACTCCTGCACTTTAAAGAAAACGGCTAATAAAGCCAATTACTTTCTCTTTCCATGGCCATGGTAACCATAACTACAACTAACCTATTTCATTATTACATATTTTCCCGTAGGTACGCCTAATAGACGCGTGGCACGATGACGAAGAAGTCCATCTATCCTGGGTAGTGGAACCCCTATCAGCTAATCGCTACAGGTGTACTGGAGTGACAGCTTCAAGAGCTGGTGGTCTACCGAAACATGTGGCCTGCCACAGGGCTACTCCAGCCAATGTAGTGCTTCGAGGGCTGAAGATTGATGCTGTTGACCCTTATACGTAAGTTATGTGATGAGAATTTTATAGACAGAGATAAAAAATTAATTTACTGAAGGTACGATGGAAGAGTTTCTGTCATATTCGTTCCGTAATATATAATACCCAACGTCAAACTGTCATAGAGGTTTTGTGAAACTGTATGTTTTGGTAACAAATAAAGGCCTTAAAAATACTAAATACTTAAAAAGTCAAACTACAGCTCCATCGGAAAACTTTGTTGATGTGTTAAACATTAATCTGTAATTGTTTTTTAAGTATAACTATTTACCTAAAATTTTTTATAGTGTTATATTCATTGTTCGTTTAATATAAATTTATTCTGAATGACAGTCGAGGTATATTTTTTATTTTTTCGAAATTTTATCGGGGTATTATACTAATGCGAGAAAAATAAACCTTAAATGGTATGAAATATAGCAGGAAAATATATTAAAACACGTTCACGAACTCAATAGGAAACCACTTTAAAGTAAATCGGTTGAGATTCCTCTCACTGAGCATAGAGGACTTGTTAGTGTACGTGGATCTAATATCGAATGTTATCTAGTGCAGGCCGTACGTTATGTCGGTCGTAACGTTGTAGACGCCTGATGGAAATATAATAACATAATGCAGAGTTAAATGTTGTTGCTATTGCAATTTTGTCAGGCGTTAGTAATTTTCTATTGTTCGGTGGAGGGCTACTCATTGTATTGCATGTTTCTTTGCAGATTGTTGTTTGTACTATCAGAAAAAAAGTTTCAAGCCTACTTGTGATTTATTTTTAAATATAACAAGAGCCACTTTTGGTGTAATTATGTGCAAACTACTTAGGTACATACAGTAGGCTCTTTTTGAAACATCAACAGCCAAGTCTAAAGTTGCCCTAAGATATTTATGATGTTGTAAATCTACGAAATAAAAGACAAGTAATGAGGGATGGAATTAAAATAAATGTTGCCAATTATTGTTTATGTTTTTTTTCTTTCTCAGGTTCTGTATAGCTTTGGAAGAGATGGATAGTTCTGATATGCCTCTCTCCTTGGTACTGGGATGTGGCGCCCCAATGCAAGTGAGGCAGCGAGCCACATTCGCTACGGTCGTCCCTATAGTAGTTACTCGAGCTCCTGAGAGTAATCCTTTAAGGTAAGATAGATATGAAAACAAAATGAAATTTGTGGTACACGACTCATCTTTATCACAATATCATACAGCCAGTCAGCCTGTCATCAGTCTGCAATAATTAATTAAAAAAGTTAACAAATAATTGTATTGTTTCGTAGTAGACCTTTAAAAAAATAGGCTTCATCCATATAAAGACTAGGCCTTAGCATCAGAAACGAGAATAAAATCATCATCGCCTCATCTGCCTTAATAATCCCAGTATCCCATTTCAGAGTCTCCGAAGTCCGATCAAACGTAACGAGCGAAGGGGTCCTAACAGTTCTCATATCGGTGCTGGGTCTCTCACAAAGACCACAATACGTTTTACCGCGCTCCCAAAGACTATCCAACGATATTCGACCTATTAATAATTGCTACATAGTCCTTGCCGTTCTATCAAGAGGCTCATTAGTAGCTCAAAAAGATACTCCATGCCAATCTTCTCTAGAAATATCTATGGAAGGCTTTATCCGAGGACCTTATGAAGTATGTGCTGCTATTTCAAAATACAAGGTCGATGAAAGAAGAACCATTTGTGTGGTCCCACAACTAATAGAAACACTTGGATCTTTAGAAATGAAAGCAGGTTTTAAAAGTCTGAACACAGCGTTAATAGGCGTGGCTCTTGGTCTGATGATAATAGTGATTGGGTTAGTCTGGTTTGTAAGAAAGATGCTGAAGAAACCAGCAGAGTTTGAGCCCCATAGGTGCTTTAGGCAAGAACCAGTGCAGGAAGAGAATCCAAGAGCCAGCTATGTGATGCTAACAGCAACATCAAAAGTGTAAAAAGACTCGTCGAAATATGTTTTACTAGTCGTGAAAATTATCTATAATATATTTGTTTTTGGTTATTATTATTGAAAGTATTAAACAAATTGGAATTGTTTTTAGGTGTTGTGAAAATATTATTTTAATAATTGTTTGTTTATTAATGTTCAAATTGATGTTTTCGATGGCATGCTAATTTAAACTTTACAAATTATTTAACAGATACGCTTAAGTTTTAATTTTAATTGTGTCTTGATAAGTTAACAGTCATTTTAACAATTTTGTTGTGTATATAATTTTATAGAACTCAGTGAAAAGTTGTTATCAAGAAAAACATAAAAAAATATAAAATGTACTTTTGGCTTGGCTGCTCAATGGCAACTAAGGACTCAAATTAAAATAGAGAATATGTCTTTCAAATATGTCTGCTAATAAAACAATATTTTTTTATATATTATAGATCGATATTTTTTGCGGTGTTTCAAGTTTGAACGCAGTAAAAAGATGATATTATTATAAATGTTGAAAATATAAGTGACGTTATGCAGATGCTTTTGATTCACTGCTATAAGTGAATTCATAATATTCGATCCATACACTTCGTTTATCTACGAAAGAGAACATTCATGTAAATAATAATCTCAGAGATCAAAGTACAACATAAGACGGGAACAAAGTTATTTTAGTTAATAAGTAAATAAATAGTACTGTGTAACAGTAATAACAGATTCTAAGTAATGTTTTAAATCACCTCTTGCTTGTGATAGCAGCGTAAATATCAGTGTAAGAGATAAAATGTAATTAATGCTACTTAATTAGTTAAGAAGTTATGTAAAGTTTATTTGTAAATTACTAATGATTTTCATAAGTCTTTAAATTGACCGATTTGTTAGCTCAATTTCTGGGAAGAGGTAAAAGATTAACATTCTGTATTTTTGTTCAAGTTTGTCAAATGCCTGGGACAGGTCCATTATGTTTCAAGTTTAATTACTTTTATGTATGAATTACGTACAAATTTATTTGTGTTAAAATTAAGTGTCAATATCAATAAATCAATAATACAAAATATACATACCAGTTTTCCCATAAGTTTTTTGAATGTTATATTTTAAGTGGATTTCCACAAGGAATACATCTTGGACCAAAATTGTAGTGTTTATACACACCACACACTGTCTTTTAAAGTAGAATCATATTCATACATAATATTCTCATTTACCATTTCTCGAAGTTGTAGCTTATTAACTAAACTTTACGGACTATCTAATAAATTACTAAAATAAAATATGTCTTCTGTGAAGACGTATTTCTCGAAAATGATTTAGTTTAGAACTAATATATTAACTCGAGGCTCTGACATTTTGTTTTAATTAATGTATAGTCAATGCTTAGTCTGTATGTTACTTTGATTCTAATAAACACAATGTTTTTGGTGATATTAATATCTTGGATTTGATATTAACAGTTAAATATTAAATAGAAGAGTTAATGGTATCCACACGCTGTTTTCTTTTAGAAGGTTTACTATTGATATAATATGATATTAACATTTGGAGAATTAAATCAACATTGAATTATTAACAGTTCTTTAAACGAACAGATATATATGTATACTATTCACTAATGGTTTAAAGTCGTGAGTAAGTCAAGAGTAGTTTTTGGAATTCAATGAAATGGTAAGACCTCTGCACTTACTAAATAAAATGATAATGAGAAAATAAATTATATTTAAACTAAATACTCGTGTATTCGGTAAAGTAATTGCAAATACGAAAGTTTTGTAAACAGAAAATTAAATTTCAATTAATTAAATAAATAATCTACTGTCTAGAATACTTTTTAGGTAACTTGGTTGACGACTACATTTTGAATTACAAATTCTTGAATTTAAATCAATGGCTTCCTGTATATGTACCTATTGAATTTTTTATTTAATCCAAATTATTTATACTGTTTTAAAGGAAAAAGGAAGACAATAAAATCATTTTTGAAAACATGTTTTGAACCTGTTTAGGATATTTTTTTCTGGGTCTATTTTATTACAGAAAAGTGGCAGTTTATGGGTAGCTATAGCCATAGTGTATTGGCTCAGTCCCTACTTGTTGGAAGTTTTAACAACTACAACCTTTAAGGAGATCCTATAATTACTTTAAACTAATTCGCCATGAATAAGCGTTGTAATTAAAGTGGGAAGAGGTCTTTGCTCAGCAGTGGAGACTTATAGGCTGATGACGATTCTGATTTGAGTCTAAAAACACGATATTATAATATCGTGTTTTTATATTATAATAATATAATTATTATTAATATCCCAAAAACATGCGTGCCTTATTTATGTATTAATTGTGTAGCATAACAATAACATGACAATAAAGTAACGCGACTTTTTATTATGAGAATTCAAGAGGCCATAATTAGTTCTGTGCCACAACTGATTCTAAAACAATTAGGTAATTAAAAGTCATGTAGTTACAAACGTCTGCGGTTCCACGGTAGTGTGGCCGTAGTCTTATATAAAAAGAAAAGAAAAAAAGTCGCGTTACAAGTTGCCAACGTCACAAGAGTCTCCCTGTAATATCGTAGAAGCGTATTATTGTTATTTGTAGTTACAATAGATTTGTAAAAGAAATATTTTGATCATACTGGCCTTAATGAAAAATATTTTTTATCTTCAAGTGTATAAAATTTAAAATCAATGTTCAATTTGAGAAATATATATGCCAACCAATCTAGAGAGGTGGACAACAGAATTGAACGATAAAATTAAATGTGAGTCTTTATTAGAGAGAAAATTTTAAAAAGAGGAAATTTTTGTAATTATTATAATAGTAGTAAAAAAAACTATATACTTAAGTTAAAAAATACAAAACGAAAAATAAAAATATTTCATAAAGCGTGTTTCTGTAATTGGATCATTTGTTTATTGAAAAATACAAGAATTGTGAAAACAAGATGTGACCAATATAAACAATAAAAAAAACTTTTATTTTTATCGGGGAAAGTATTTTCCGTAGTTTTTATTTTATAACGATTTACGACATTATAGTTTTATATAATTGCGTTTCAGAGCTTTTGTTAATCAATGTATTAAATTAAGTAGAAAAACAAAAAAATATAATTTTTAATAATTTTTACATTAATTATGACTTCAAAATTAAGATTATTTTTTCTCATTTGCCTCTACGCACTTTAAAAAGACTCACACTGTATTTCAATAAATTACGTCAATATTAAGAATTACTTATGTATCGGGTTTAAATATAGCCGGACCTAAGCTCAAAATTTAATTCACCACTGAGAAACTTAAACACACACACAAATAGACCTAGGTCGATCTTCGAATTCAAAGACTGCTCCACATCCATACGATGCCTTCGGGTATCGAAATGGAAAACAAATAACTGTGGCCCATACAAATATTTGTTTCGAAGTGGAAATTGGCTTGGCTATGCTGAGTCGACAAAGCATTGGCTTCAACCAATGAGGCGGCAAAGGAATGCGTTCTCCGAATACATTTCTTGCTTCCAATACTCACTTGTATTTTGTAGTTAAGATGCATCGTTGTTGTTTTACTTTGATGCGTATATGTATTTGTGATCATTTAAAGTACTGATAGCCTTGAGCATGGACTTGTAAAAGACAGACATTGAGAATAAGTCGTTTTTTATTTCTATATTTTTTTAACTTTACCCCACACTAGGGTTTTCTCCTGTATCGTGGGTGCGGTTACAAACATTCAATATCCCATACACATGACACGCCAGACCCGGAACGGCAATATGTGGAGAAGGACGAGCAAGAAACTACATGGTTACTCTGTTGCAATAAGTTAAAAAAAAAACAATTCTTTCTAATTATTTTTTATTTGTGATAATATATTTTAAATTTGTCTATGCACAAAGCTGTTGTGTGTGTGTGTGTGTTCTGTTTAAGTCGCTTTAAAAGATTATAATAAAGCATGCGTTGTTGTTGCCCTCAGAAACATTTGATGACTATTTAAAATATGCCATAATTTCGATGTTTTCTGAAAATAATTGTTAAAGGACCGTGCAAAGTTACTTCAATAATTATCCGAAACAAAAACTAGCAAAACTCTTTCGACACTTTTATAATTCAATAGATTGATATCGTTATTTCTGTAAATGGGATAAGGTCGAAATTCGTATGAAAATAATATTTCTTTTACTACTCTATTATAAGTTTTGAAAATTCTATAACATGCGTTATATGGTATTTGAGCTTTATTTGCATTGTAATTAACGTAACGCGGCAAAATCGCACTTAAGTTAATGTTTTTAAAGAGCATATTTGTTCTGCTTTAATTAGTTTAAAATGTACATAAGTAATTTATGTGATGCCATTTTCATTCTTGAATAAAAATATTAACATATAAATTGTTTTTTTTCTTCTGATGTTTAATGTGTGGACACCCTTTAGGTACTATCGGCGGAAGTTAAGCCATGCTTCAGCAGTAATTTTTATTCATTTATTTATTCATTTATTACCAACATACAGCTATTATCACAGGAGTTTCGTAATACAATATAGTGCAGTAACATTACAAAGAATTACAGAACAAACAAAATCCAAAACAAAATAAAGAAACCTTACAAACCTTATTTATAAAATAAAATTATATAAACTTAATCAACCATGGAAGTTATTTTATGGCTATTATGTTCAATCCTTGCCCTAACCCATCTCTCACATTTTCGTCGTTTGGCCCCTAAGTTAGAACGGTCTGGGGCCGCGCTCAAGCGGCTCCTTCCCAACATCGGGGGGCCAAACGCCTCCTGCCGGAGGTTGTACATGGGGATTGTGCGATCCATGGCCCTCTACGGTGCCCCTGTGTGGGCGCCGGCCTTGAAGCGGCGGCCGGCTCGTACGCTGGTCGCGTCCCAGAGGGTCATGGCTATTCGAGTAATCCGCGGGTATCGCACGATCTCCGGGGAGGCGGCGAACCTCCTTGCCGGATCACCGACGTGGGATCTAGAAGCGAAGGCGCTCGCGCGCGTCTACAGTTTGCGCGCAGACGCGCGTCGCCGGGGCGAAGATCCTCTGCCGCGCCAAATTAGTGCGTGGCGGAATGAGCTCCGGCGAGATCTCATGGCAGAGTGGAAACAACGACTGTCGCAACCGAGGGCCGGGCACGCTACCATAGCAGCGGTAAGACCCCTCTTTGAGGAGTGGCTTGAGAGACGCCACGGCGTCCTCACCTTCCGTCTGACGCAGGTGCTTACCGGGCACGGCAGCTTCGGTAGGTTCCTGTTTCGGATTCAGCGGGAGGAAACGCCCGAGTGTCGTCATTGTGAGGACCACCTAGAGGATACGGTGGAGCATACGGTAGCGGTATGCCCTGCCTGGGCTGAGCACCGCCGTATCCTCAGGGAAGTGATCGGCGGCGGCGACCTCTCGCGCCCGGCCTTAGTCGAGGCCATGGTGCGGAGTGAGAGGAACTGGGACGCCGTCTCCTCCTTTTGTGAAGCAGTCATGCTCGCAAAGAGAGAGGCGGCCCGCGTGAGGGAGCAATCCTCCTCCTCACGCCCCAGCAGCCGCAACTGGCGACACTACGGGCGTCGGGGATCGAGGGACGATCTCCGGCCACCGTAAGTACGGGCCTGTGGTCGGCGAGTAAGGGCAGCTCGCCGCCCGACCAGACCCAGGCCCGAGCGTACGGCGCGTAGCGTTCCGCGCGCGCCTCAAAGAGCCAATAGACCACCACAGACGGGGCCCTAAAGGGCTGATGTTCAGCCGGGGTTGCGGGGTAAGCGCAATGAGGTACCGCGACCTCGGCACAGAGCAGGAGAAGGAACAGGGGGGTTTTTAGTCAGTAAGAGTCTGACACTCCCTCCTGCCCGGCCCTGGGCGGGAGAAGGCATTTGACGATTTTCCCCTCACAAAAAAAAAAAAAAACCCATCTCTCACCAAATTCAAATCTTCGACACCCTTATCTGAAAAAATGATGGCAAAGCAGTCGTAACCTCTTTGGTGTTAGTAAAAAATATATCGGCTCGACCGGAGTGATAGTGGTGTCACTTCTAGGCTTTAAAGAAGTGTAGTGTTGTTCATCATACATTGCTCGCAATGTTCTTAAGTTGGAGAATGTGCGGGCAATAACACGGTTTTTTACTGCAATGCACGAAAAACGAGACTTAAAACATGATTGTCTTAATACGGTTAAGGAAACGTCGTGAGATGATTTTTTATTCTTTGGTATTAGCTACTGATTGGTTTTGAATATAACCTTAATCTTATTAGGTGACACTGCCCCGTCAGTAAAACAAAACTAAGGGAGATAATGGTTATTTTTCTTGTTTTTTATTCATACAAGGAAAATATGTCTTATTAATTTTAGTCGCGTAGGTTTTGTTTATATTTTTATATTATTAAATATGTAATGTCGGTTCTACAATTGCACTTTGGATTTCCCGATTCATTATTAAAGTGCTAGGGTTTTCATACGGACGGATGTTCTGAATCAATTATCAAGAACAACATTATTATCTACATTAATATTTTAAAGAGGTAAAATTTGTATGTTTGTATGTCGGGGATAACCGTTGGAATCGATGGTCAAGTTCCCAAAATTCTTCAGCTGATAGATGGCTTCAATGTTTCCGAGTGCTATAGGGTATAAAACATCACCTTTCAACCAATAGCAGCCAAACTGCGAGTCTAATTCTATAATTTAATAAAAAATAAATCATTTATTATTATTAATTAACTTTGGGCTCAATGAAAAGGTTCTAAATCTCATACTGCAGCTCATAGAAAAAGATAGCAGACAAGAAAAATTAAAAAAAAAGATACAGAGACTGCATAAATACATATATAACTACTTGTATTCTGCCCAACATATATGTAATTATATATTTTTAATGTGATAAGACAGCAAACGAGCGGACTAGTTACCTGATGGTAAGCAATCGGCGCCACCCATGGACTCCCAGGGCAGCATGGACAGCTGTAACACCAGAGGAGTTAACGCAAGAGTGTTGCCGGTCTTTTGATTTATTTTGATTGCGGAAGGAGAGAAGAAGGGCAAGGTTCAACATATTATTCAATAAGGTTCAACCTCTGGTAACCGTACTCATACAGCGAACCACAATGCTTTGTGTTGTTTCACGCTGTATTTTTGTAAGGCCGTGGTATCACTCTGGCCGAGCTGACCCATTCGTGGCGAAGCATGCTTTTTTAGCATTAAGTATTTTAATTTATTCTTTATATTGGAAGAATTAATGCTAGAAGCATTTTCTGCCAGTCAACCTTTTGGTAGTGCAGAGATGTGTGGTAGGTATATGCAGCAATTTGGGAAGTCTAGCTACGGAAGAAAGAAAGAAAGAAAAATAATTTATTTACAGGAAGTGGAGGTATAAATATATTCAAAGTTAATTACATAAAAATAATATATAAATACGTTTTACAACATTCAATATAAACTCGAATACATGTAATATAAATTAAATCACACAATTAATTGCAAAACGGGATGAACATAATAAAGTCATATGCAAGATAAATCTGTGTTATCTTTGTCTAGAGGTAAAGTTAATTATGTAGCTACATGGGTATTTCCAAATATCTGCATTGATAACCAGTTCAGGGCTTTCCTGATACACTTGAAACTAAATTAGATTATAATTATTCGACACATATGTATATGCATAGTACATAACATATTTTTATAGTCATACCTCTTTGGTCTCCGAAGGAGTATCCAGAGTGGTGCTTAATATTAAACGAGTTATTTACTTTTCACAGGCGTTTTATGAATACTAAATTGTTCTATATGTTTCTTTTTTTTAAAAATAAGAATTTTCCGAGTTTATTATCTTATCTCCCAATTTTAACCACCAGATGATCAAAAAGGTAAGTAATAAATATTGGAATATACCGGTGTCTTTAGGGTAAGTATGTAGCGACATCTATCGCACAATAATAATAACAGCACCAATCACGTGCAAGATTCTACATCGCGCTATAAGAGTTCTCAACACAATTAGCACCGATACAAAAATCCCGTCAACAAACGTTCGGGCAGTAGCCCACCAAACATAACACCCGTCTGGTCGGAGGATCCTTTTCAATGGAGGATGAGGAACTTTCCACCCTGTTCTCTCATACCTCTAAAAGTATAAAACATTTAATCCTCAAAAAGACAGAATGTTAAGAGATCATTATTTAATGATTAAAAACATAACTAGAAATTCTGAAACACTTTCAGAGTTAAATAGGTTTAACAGATGTTTATTTGCGTGTGTATTATTACTAGCAATATAAATTATTATATTACTACAATAATGTATATTTATCTGCACCATTTTTGTGGGGTAAAAATCATTCAAGGACTTCTTTCAATCTGGGAGTGGCGAGAAAGAAAGAGCGTTAGACTCTTTATAACTGAAAACTACCTAATTCCTACTCCTGTTCAGTTACATCATACTATACGCTTGAACCTTCTACCTCGTCTAGACACCGGTTCTGGTGGGCCACATCATAAGGCAGACGGAACTTGACACACCAGTGGCAGGTGACAGACGGCAACTTACCCTCCTTGCTTGCTGTATGCAGACCGCGTAGCCGACTGGAGTGGCTCTATTGTACCCTTATTATATTAAAGACTTAAACAACTCAATACAAAATGTATGTACATAATCACATTAAAGATACTGATTGTCAAGGTTGCAGTACTCATGTAGACTACAAATTGCATTAGGAAAGGCCCAATGCAGTAGGTACCGACTTCATATACAAAACGGATTTTTAACGTGGTCAAGGTAAATAGGATGGACCTTATTTTTAGTGTCTAGTTAATCCTTAGTCTAGTTAATTATATGTAGGAATGCCATACTTACGAATGACCATTTAAAACAGTGTACCTATAAATAAACTATAACTTGATACTCAATGAGCAAATCCCTCGATTTTCAAGTACCTAATCCCAAAAGAGCGCCAACACAATTACGGCCTCTGGACATGCGAATGGCCGCAACAATTGCTGACCACCACCGTTCATTTGTCACCCCATCCCACAAAATATATAAAAACATTTCCATTTAGCAAAATAATTACTTGGCATTCCCAACGAAGACAAAAACAAACCGTTTCTAAAAATAGATCTTTACATAACTATCATTATCGAAAAAAATACCCAGAGCAGAAACATTAAAGAATAAACAAAATTATCACATGCATCCCACCTATTCGCTACAATTTCCTTAAACGAAATCGAAGAGTCAAAGGTGCGTGTACGCATGCATAATATATATTTGTAAACAAGTGCGCTATCAGTATGAATCCGGACGCCATGAGGAGCGCACGTGTCGTTCAAATAATTTTATTCCTAACGCTATGTTTGGGACTCCAAGCAAAAGTGTACAAAAGATGCGAATTAACTCGTGAACTTTTAAAGAACAATTTCTCAAGGACTTTTCTTAGTAATTGTAAGTAATTTGAAGTTTTTTTTTGTTGTATCTTTTTTTACTGATTGTTGTTACAATTTAATGTTAGTTGTACATGGTATGTTTGTTATATGGAGTAGATAGCGCTAAGCGATGAACTGAACAGTAATTACAGGGCAATTCATAACATGGTTTGAATGATTGATATTTAATTATTTTGTTTTTTTTGAATAATTATAGATATATAATTTTATAATATTTTATTCAATAACAGCAACATTAAAATACTTCGTAATTGTTCTACTTTAATCACTTACACCGGCCGAACAGAAGTAGGGAGCCTCTTAGAGATTTAATGAATTTACTGGAAAACCGGTGTGGATACCGCTTGCGTAGCGTTTCGCCGTATGAGTAAAGTTACTGGACCAGATACCTCAATACCCAATCCCCTTATCTCCCAATCTTTAAAGCCATAACCCTCAAAAGGCCGAGAATGCTGACCGTTAGGTGGTGCGTCTGCTTACTTTCCACCCATCGCAACCATCATCGACCATCCCATTAAAAAGATAATAAATATTGGAATCCACCGGTGTCTTCAGGGTAAATTTACTACACCACAATATTTTGTCCTTCAATTTAATGTATTGTTCAAGCCAGCAGCTTGTTGTGTTTCTACGTACATAAGTCAATGTATATCATCATAATATTTACATTGTATTCATAACGAAAATATCATTATGATTTAGAGATTCCTGTAGTAATGTGGAAAGTGGAAGGAGGTTTTTAATCAAGTAAAAATATAATTATTTTTCAAATCTTAATTTGTCCAAAATGGTATCAAAGCGGAGCAATAATGGAATAATGGAACGACTTATTAAAAAGATGTTCAATCAAAATTGGATATGTATACCGCTGTATAATTCTGCTTATCCCCTTTTACTTTACTGTATCTCTGTATAAATTTATAACGTATATAACGTATACGCAAACAACGTGTGCACACAGATAATATCCTTGAAATTTCACAGCAAGACATAAGCCATCTGTCTGTTTGCATTCATTAAATCAAATTAGTGACTAGAAACTCTAAACAATAAGTTATGTAAACGTTTTGACACTTCTAGATAATAATGTTGCATTGTCATTTTGTGATAAAAGTTTTAAGCTAAATGATATCTACAATGCGGTATGTGTTCAGCCGGGGTTGCGGAGCAAGTGCAATAAGGCACTGCGTCCTCGGAATAGAACAGGAGTAGGAACGGCTGGGTTTTTAGTCAGTGAGAGTCTGACACTCCCTCTCGCCTCACCCTGGGCGGTATACGGATTAGCTTATGGCAAGCAATCGCCACCACCTATGGACACCCTAACCACCGAGGAGTAACTAGGACGTTGCCGAACTTTTGTTCGTTAGGTATTTGGAGATCGGGGAATTTGAGGATCATTTCAAGTTAAGGAACTGTTTTACACAACTCATTGAAATTCTTTTTGATGTTGAAATACATTGGGTGGTACATATAATCAGCAAATTTTGTTATAATTCTTCACAGGGTCTCGGAAACATCTCTAACGATTTCGATGTACTTTTGTCTGCAAAAGAATTTCGGACCAAAAACTATGTAGATATGTTTTATTTTCAGAAAAAAGGATGCCGTTCCAATCTTAGGCCTATCTTCGAGTACTGTATATTACCTAAATTTAATCAACATTGCTCTTATTTTCTTTCGAAACTATGAATAAAGTCGGCAACCATATCGAGTATTATAATAAATACAGGTCCTTAAACTCATTAACATTGAAACCGTAGAATCCTCAGTCCGAACAACAAAAAATCCATTTTATCTTGTCCAAAGAAACCATTGACGATGCAATTGTGTATGCGTCGTATGTATTTGTAACAAACGATAAAATATGATTTTCTAAAACAGCTGAAGCTGTAGACTACTTAGTCTACGTGTAATCTTAGACTAAACTCCATCCGCCTGTCAAATTTCATTCAGTTTCATTCAGCTGTTTTAGAAAATCATATTTTAGCCATTATCATATTTTTATCCACACTTACAAACCTTCACGTTGATATTATTAGTTGTATGATTCGGTACTACAAATCAACACCTATTTTTGGCATTGGTAAGGGAGAGATATTCACCCATTCATTCATCTATCAATTTACCTAAAACATTAATATAAACGTTTTTCTCTCCAAATCAAGCTATACATATATTAACTCAAAATTTCATCAAAATCAGTTAAACAATTTCGTAGCCTTTGTTACTAATATATCGACATATGTATATATAAGTATATCAGAACTCACAACACAATATCAAGTGTGAATGTGTGCGTGTTTAAATCTCAATGTATTCAATGGTAGTTAGCTATGCCTATTGTATTCTCCCATAGCTGATGCTTAGTCATGATTCGGTCGATAGATTTTCCTTATACGGTCCTCCACTGTTTTTGGTTGTCATGACTACCAAATTTGTTTGTGGCGTTTTTATCAATGAATTCGTTTTGTTACGTGCTTCTTTTAGTGTCGGTCGTTTTAAATAAATTCATATGGCATAGTGTATGGTATTCCCCTTAACCTATTAGATTGTTGGGAGATTCAGATTTTTTTTTGGCCACATTTTCTTAGGTCAGACTATTATGAGTTTGTAAGCGTCTGCTTTTCATGAATGAGCGTGCGAGTTCGTAACCTGACAAGTATTAATGTGACTTTTTCTAAATCATATGTACTTTTCAACTGTATTTCGACATAATTGACGAACGGTGAAGCAGAAAATCGTGAGGAAACCTGGATTTGAAATCACCAATTCACACTGAGCAAGCGTAGTCGTAGATAAAGAAGTCATTGTGTCGAGTATATATTCTTGGCATATTACAAGGGACTCTTGATACGCTGGAAAAGAGCAGTTATCATATTTGGCATGGGCGCCTCTAATCACTCCTTCGGGTGGTAAAAAGACGGGATATTATTATCGTTGATGATGCGAGTATTCACGATCAGCGTTTGGATAATCATATAATGACTTCTTCCGCTCTGGATGGGATGAGAGAGAGAGAGACTTTCATCTTCTCGTCGTCTCTTTATCACTAAAAACCAATCATTCCTTTCCTCTTTTCCGGGCAGTGGTACATCATAACTTTATAGAGTGTGAGAGGGCCTTATCTGTGGTGGTTTATTATAGTTCTATGAGGCGCGCGCGGAACACTACACGATTATCTGGCTTCGTGTTGCATCATAATATTTTCGCCCAAGAATTCAGTTACACACAGTTTGACACAAAATCGATTTCTATGTCCATAAATCACTATATCAAAATTACGCAACGGATTTGGATTTTGATGCGCATTTTTTTAACACCTTGAACGCCGTCGCGGAGTGTATGTGGGCCACACTAGTGAAGTATTTAAAAGAAAAGGTTTAAATGAGTGACTGAAGAAGAAGGTTTATATGTTAGTAATTTATAAGTTAATAAATACCACAGAGGACGTCATGGCTAGATGTTTAATGGAGTAATTTATAGCTTCTTAAAATGTAACAATCAGTTCTAAGGCACAAGTTAATGCGAAGGTTTTTCTTTATGTAGTCTTTTTTATTCAATACAACACAATCCATGTTGCTAAGTAGGTAATGGTGATTGGTGTGCAGTAAAAAATTGTTATGACTTCGACATTGGATTTAGACATGTTATATGTGTAGGTTTGTAATCTATTCGTTTAATTGTTTTATGAATATACCGATTTCAAATTAGGCTTTATGTGCTAACAAGATTGTTATATTCGGTGGATGAATGGACATTATGTATGTACCTATAGTCGATTATTATTTAACAAAAATAACTTATTCTTACACCCAGTTTCTGAAAGGCTTGTCAACGCTAAAATTAACTAATCTCCTGTTAAATCTCTTGTCAAATCATCTGATTGGTTGTTGATAATTCAGTCAACCAATCAGATGACTTGACAAGAGATTAAATTGATTTTAACATTGATCGGCCTTTCGGAAACTTGGGGTTAGTATTTTATCATGACCGATATTAATAATAAAGTTGTTAATAATTAATTTGAGGATTAGTTTTGGGGGATTGTGAATAAAATAAAAAAAATTGAGCGTCGAGCAACCTCAATTATTCGACGAAACAATAGTTTTTTTTTGGATTGGCGAGCCGACCCATACTTGCATAAATAACTCCACACTTAAAAGAAACTGTTCAAGAACGAAAGCTACAACTTAAAAACAATACATAATATGTATAATAATAAATGTAAATCTAAAACCTAACCAAATGGTGCTAGATAGTTCTATATATAGTGTACGTACGCATGTGTTTATAATATATGCTGACCAGAGGTCAATTCAATGTCTGGACTCCACACATAATGAGGCATTAGTCATCAGTTTTGGCGTAAATAGTTACTGCCCACCTCTGTTATGTAATGAATTGGTTTTAATGTAAACAGTACCTTAATGACCTTAAATGTTTGATTAACCTTAAATGTACTGGTGTAGAGGCCAATGTTTCGCTTTGCCAAAAGTTAAGTATAGATATTAATTTGTTATGTTGTGATCGGCCGGAGTTTGAGACACCAGCTTCTTAAGCATTACTAACATTTATACATAGCAGCGATTATTTCTGAGTTTTATGTACTAACATTACTTAGACACCACTGACTGGATTTAGAATTGTAAGTTTGAAATCATCAATTCGCCTTGCAAGCGTGGTGATGAGTGCTCAAACTTTCTCCGTGTGATAAGATGCATTTGCTCAGCAGTGTTCATTTATACGCTGATGTTGAAGGCTTGGGATTATTAACACTCCACTGATATATGGTCAAGGAAAATAACGGGAGAATACCTGATTTATATTCCTTTCGTGATAAGAGGCCTTTGCTTAGAGGCCATCACCCATAGGCTGCGATGGTTATGAATTTGTAACTATAACGTAATTTGTGACTGCGCGCCACCTGATAATAAGCGATTCCTACTCTTTTTGGTGCTGGTATAACGGCCTGCAAAGCAGGAACGAGCTGCAAGTCTTAGTATAAGACAAGTAAAAAAAATTACATCCTTTCAAATTACTATTATCTTGTCACATTTATATTAGACTTGGGATTCGCCCTGACTTCGCACGGATACAACGCGGATGCCAAATTCCACCACTGTATATGTATAATAGATGTAATTATAAAATTATAAATATAGTCTTCAATCACTCAACTTTAAAAAAAAAACCACATTATGCATATAGGATATAGGTACAGAGAAAGCGACTTTGTTTTATTCTAAATACTATGAAGTGATAAATGACGCACTTCTTTTCATGGCTAAGTAATTAATTCCAAAAGTATTTGTTAAATACATACTTTTAAAATGTTGTTACACATTCAAAGTGTCAAAAATACAAAACGAAATTAAGCACGTCAATCAAATCGTTATCTCATAAGAAAACAAGAAAATTAATTTTATCATAATGTATGTATAAACAAAAGCTGTCAACAAATAATTACATACATATTATTGTGAAATGTGAGTGACGCCTGGTTCGTTTAATTCTTAGATAAATGTAACATCCTGTCAAAAGATTCGTGTATATATGTATATTGTAGCTATATGTAATTGCAAGTTCTTTGTCAATATATATATATATATATATATTATTTAGTTATAAGTAAATTTAACTGTTATTAAACATACTCACTGACCCCACAGTCAAACCATTACAACGGTTTTGTAAGGCTTAGCACATAAGATGGCTACCTTTGTAATATAAGATAAATAAATAAAAAAATGAAACTGGCGTAATAACAAATACAATTTACGACCTAGCCTGTTAAAAAAATTACACTGCACCACCACTTACATACGGTGAAGGAAAACATCGTGAGGAAACCTCGACTTATAATTTCGTCTAAGTTTGAAATCGCCAATCCGCCTTGAGCGAGCGTGGTGATTAGTACTCAAACATTTTCCGTTCGAAGAGGCCTTTGCTCAGCAGTGGGCACTTACAGGCTCATGATTTGTTTTACCGTAACCTAACCTACCATTATGGTAGCAACTCTTCAACTAAAGGCCTTAATAAGAAATTAAGCAAATTCAATCAAACGGCTAGTCACACACACACACACACACACACACACGCACACACACACACGCTTAACGTCCATAATGTATGTACATATATATTTTAATGTATTTTAATTCACAGGGGTATGTTTAATAGAACAGGAGAGTGAAAGAAACACATCGGCTATTGTCGTGAAAAGTTCTAGAAGAAAGTTCTATGGGTTGTTCCAAGTAAGTACTTCTTAGATTTTATGTGATCCATATTATATTATTTTAAATCAAGTCTTGTTTTAATAAACTACTAGACAATTTTATATTTTAACGAGATGGTTTTAAGCGTGGGAGAGCTAAGCTTTGGCACGAATTAGTGGGATTGACCAGGTTGATACCACGGCCTCACAGAAAAACGACCTGAAACAACCACAGCGTTGGGTTTTGCCATGTGAGTAAGGTTACTGGAGGCCTAATCCATACCCTACCCATCACCTCAATTCCTAAATCTCCTCAAACTACTACCAAAAAGGTTGGCAACGCACTCGTAACTTCCTTGGTATTACTTGGATTACTTGGACTTGGTTTGGAGCCAATTGCTTACCATAAGGTGATCCGTCTGCTCGTTTGCCGACCAATTATGGTGCGAAAAGCTTAAATACGTTTACTACAATTCTGCTATAAGCGTTTCTAGTAGGCCTGCTGTGTGTATAGGTCACGAGCTGAACCAAGCATTAGAACCAAATATAACGAAAATTTGCATGAGCACTCCAGCGAACACTTCAGTCAATGCTTATGAATATTCTTCTCGAAGATGCGAGCCTTAACAGAACTTCACTGTCCTTCGCTAGAATGCTTGGAAGCACATTGATAGAATGCTCGCTTAAACGATCTCGTTATTTTTCTGTAATAGAACAATCGCAGTAATCCTATTATAAGTGATGTTGTTTTTAAATAAGCTTGGGAGAGCTTCTGTTCTGTTCTTGCAGAACTTTCTGTTTTTATTGAATGTAGCAAATGAGCAGACGTATTATTTAATGGTAAGCAATCGGCGTCGTCAAATGACACTCGCAATTCCAAAGGAGTTACTACAAGAGCGTTGCCGGCTTTCTATGGGTTGTTAGGTATTCAAGAATAGGGGGTTCAGGTAATGAGGATGGGAGAGGGAAAGATTGGGTGTCAGGTAACCCCATTCACACGGCGAAACACAACGTAGGCAAGTGTTGTTTACCGGCGGTGATCTGTAAGGCCTTGATATCACTCCGGTCGATTCGGCCCATTTGTACCAAAGCTCTCTTAAAGTAAAAGAATATATACATAATTTGTAACAACACGCACGAACAACACACAAGCGAAGGTAATCCACTCCAGAAGATTCTAAATATCATTCTGGATTGGAGAAAGAAAATGTCGTCATTTTTTCGATCACGATCGAAATCGATATCTTCTATTTCGCAGTGGCTCATATGATTGCATGGATCTTGTAGATTACTTTTAATCGCTTTGCAGTGAATTAGATTAACATTTGGAGTTAAAGTGGGCGATATACAAAACTGGTTTAGTAAACGCGTCCTCATTATAATTTCAGATAGGAAGCGAATGGTGCAAAGAAGGCAAAAAAGGTGGGAAGTGTGACATTGCTTGCGAAGGTAAGTCTTGATGTGTTTATTCATTGAATTCTTTATTCGTTTCTAACTTGAATGTAGGCTTAGGACTGCACCCACTTCTAATACCACCTTATAGAGATATTTTTTGCCTATAAACATTGGGTACAGTTTCCTTTGCCAAAATAAACGAATACCTCATGATTTTTCCAGATATTTTTGTTATTGATACAATATGCGTATGGGAGCGACATCATAACACACAATCACGTTTGAAATTAATGGAAAAGTGTTATTGTCACAGTTCAAAATAACCGAATCAAATATCTTATTGTCTGCCACGAAATGTAACAGAATTTATCGCCCGGCTTCGCACGGATGCAGTGCTGACACTAAATTGTCCCACTGTTTAACGAATTTTACCTATTACACAGATTAAATATTGTCTTCAATCACTTTACCCATTAAAAAACAGCATCAAATTGCGTTGATTAGTGGAAAAAAAAATATAAACGGCAACAAAATCCGTTGTTTAATTTTAAAGATTTAATATGCATACATGAATACTTTGTATTTATTTTATTTATTTATTTTTCACATTTTAAAGAAGGCTTACAGACTAATAGACAAATTATATAATGACTCTTATATTATCACGTTGCTAATTACAAGCCACCACACATAAAATGTAGTTTTAGTTATTCGAATGTAATATTCTAAATTATACAAACCATTTCTCTTAAATTTGCAGCTCTACTAGACGAAGACATAAAAGATGATGGCGTCTGCGCAGTAAAGGTGTTCGAACAAGAAGGTTTTAAATACTGGGCGAAATGGGAGGCCAGGTGCAAGGGACAGTTGTTGCCTGATATTGAAAAGTAAGAATTCTTTTTATAAATTTTAAAAAGTTTAACACACACTTGGATTTGATCATGTATAGTGGTTGCGTTTACAAACATACACATTTACATTCACACAAGCAATACTGACAAGAAAAAACAATTTGTGGATTGATAACATAGTGTTGTTCCGTGTGGGATCCAACTCGCGACCTTTGCCAACCGGTTGTCCAGCCACTGAGTCAAACGCGCTGACTTATTAATCTTAAGGTATAAGTTAAATCGTATACATTTTTTTATAAGTCTTTAATTTGAGTTCCAAAGTTCAGATGAATTAAAAGATAAAAAAATGGAAATTCTTGCAATTGAATGAACAATTTAAAACCTATAATTAAAGTTGGTAAAAGAAGTTGATCAGCCGTGGTTGCGAGTCAATCCCAATAAAATACCGCGACCTCGGCCTAGAGCAGGAGAAGGAACGGGGTGTATTTAGTCAGTAAGAGTCTGACACTCAATCTTACCCCAATTAGGGCTAGATTTTCCTCGCTCAAAAATAGAGAAGTTCAGTAACTGGAACCGTGTACAGTCCTTCAAACATAAAAATGTTATGTATGTTACCGTAATACTACTTAATATCTAAAGTACGCATAAGCTAAGCATATTATTAGTGAGTACAAATATTTATATACTCAGTTTGTACATACGCAAGGCGGACCAAAAGATCAATATTAACTTATTTGTTATAGTAATATTAGGATAGTGGCAGTAACTGTACGTTGCTTGTAGGTATTTTATTGTTACGAAAAGTGACATACTCATTCTTATTTAAAGGAGATTGAATTTTTCGTGATTTTTTTTTGTTAGATGAGGCGTTTGTTTTATTCGATGAACAATTGAAACTTATCTGCATAGTTAATACATTGTAAACTTTCTTATAAGTAATATTGAATTAGCCAGGGTTGCGGGTAAAAGGCAATATTGAACCGCGGACCTGATCGGGCCTGGAAGAGGAGAAGGATCAGGGTGGTATTAAGGCAGTTCAGACATTGACACCCTTTTTCGCACACTATCCCGCTTCAAAAAAAGTTGCATTGGAGTTTCCGAATACTAAGATTTTGATTGCCTACAAAAAAATGTAGAAAACAAGTTTTTCGCAAGCGCTAGTTACCGTCGACTAACACGGGCGCAGTATCCAAAGTGTTACAAAGAAGTTTAGATTTTATGCTATTTTATGGTCGGCAAACTAACAGATCTGATTGGGTATGGTGGAGGTATGCTTATAATCATTATAATAATACAGCAACGGTTTTAAACCGTGTAATAGATTTGCCTCCACTGCTGATCTTATCGGATCACTGCTGATAAATCCAATCTGCAGTTTTTCTGCTAAGCGCGAACTTTTAAGGAATATAATTTCCGACCCAAGAATAGATATGCAACAGGCCCATTTTTTACATAGAGAAGGTATTAATAGTTTATCAGATAACTGTTATAAACTGTTCATATATGATAATTTATTTTCCTCTATATTCATTATACACGATGGGACACTGATGCATAATCAGTCACGCATCTATGCACAAAGGTACAACGTAAAAACCGAATCGGTTGCGATGGTATCTCATTGAGGAAAATCATCGTTACTCATGAAATATTAACGATATAGTTTGAAGTTGTTGAATATTTTTATTTTTTTATTTTGGTTGTAGTAGGTCGACAAACGAATAGGCGAATTACTTGATGGTACGCAATTGGGTAGTTTCCTAGGTCAAAAATAAAATTAATTCGACGTTCCAATACAATAAAATATTGCAAAATAACTATACTTATATTCATCGATCGATCGATACACAGACTTTTGATATTTTTTAGCTAATTTTTAAGAAATAAGTAAGTTATTTGACGCAAAAATACTATGACCTCATAACTCAGTGTATCATACAAATTTCATAGAAGAGTATCGTTTTTGACATTAGGATGAAAGTATTGAAGTTGACTAGTTGGAAACTACCGTATTGACGCCACCTGTGAACACAAACTGGAGAAGTTTCATGTGCGTTGCCGACCTTTTGGGGATAGTGTTCGGGAGATTTAGGAATTGGGGAAGGTTTAGGCCTCCGTTTACCTCGCTCACATGGCAACAACAACTCTGTGGTTGTTTCACGCCGATTTTCTGTAAGGTCATGGTACCACTACGGTTGAGCCGACACATTCGTGCCGAATCTTGGCTCTCCCACACGAAAAGTATTCTTAGTCATAAAAATCAGGTAGAATAATGGTGAATGCCAACTGACTTCAAATAAAGTTGGTTTTACCAAGAAGCAATTGTAATGTTTAAATGGTGAGAATTTAACCTTTTTATATGAGTAATTGACAATAACAATGACGATTTTCTGAGGACGTGTAGGTAAAGGATCTATCTTTTTTAAGATCGGCTACTAGGTACTATGTATCTTACGCATATTCCAAAGGCTTTTCTATAGGGAAAAAATATCAAAAAATTTCTCGCGCCCTGGGTGCTGTGAGAGAAAGTATGAGACTTTACTGACTAAAGATCCCCATTCCGTCTCCTGTTCCGAGCCGGAGCCGCGGTAGCGGAAATGTTTAGCAAATTGAAGTGGCTGAGGACAGGTCACATTTGTCGAAAAACCGATGATCGTTGGGGTAGACGTGTTCTAAGTTTCGGCGGCTTCACAAACCGTACCAGGGTAAAAAGTCATATTATATTCGATTTCGTAATTTATCCAATTTCGACCACCCATTATCTATAATAATACTACCTAATATTATAAAGAGGTAAAATTTGTAAGTTTCTATGTAGGGGGTAATCTTTGGAACCGCTGGTCGGATTTCCAAAATTCTTTCACTGGTAGCTACAACGTTCCCGAGTGCTATAGGCCAAAAACATCACGCTACGACTAAATAGAGCCCAGCAGCGGGTGAAACCGCTCGAGAGTAGCTGGTTATAATGTAATGAAATAACCCATATCCCTCCAAATTTGTGCACCACTAAATAGTTTAAAACAAACTCGCTTGATCTGTATCCCTATGTAGGTTAAATCTTTAAAACTGCGAAAAGCATTTTGATGCAGTTGTATTAAATAAATAGAGTAATTAAAGAGGAAGGCTTAATTAAAAGTATAATAACATCCATTTAATAATGGAGAAACTAAGTATCGCCATTGCCCGGTGCGAAGCTAAGTCGTGGTTTGTAATATCATGTTAAGATCATATAATATAAACTTCTTGAACTTCCATTTCAGATGTCCAGACTGGGTGCATCCCCCCAGTAGGGTGTCTCCACCTCGAGACAAGAGAACGGCAAGAGGGAAAAGAAGTATCAGAAGATTCAGCAGAAGATCAATATTTCTGAACCAACCTTATTAGACTGTGGTTCTAAAAGTCGTTTGCTAAGGTGAATTGTAACTGTGTACTTAGTTTGAACGTTGTATAAATTTGAAAAGCCCCTAACAGAATGTTATTGGATAACTGATTTAAAGATCGACAAAATAGTTGTGCAGTGAAAATACCATCATGCGGTAATACAAGATCCTTAAAAAGTTAAGAGTTAAGTAAAATTAATACGATGGTCTTAAAAGTATGATCAGTAAGAGGGTGAATGAGCTCAAATTAAAATCTTGCCACAAAATTAAAATAAAAATAATTTTACAAAATAAAACAAAAAAAAAATGGTTAAAGGTAGCTGGTCTACCTAGTAGTAATGTGTTGAAAGAACAAACATTTTCGTCTTTGTGTGATGTGAGTACAGTTCTTTGTTAAACATTGTGCATTTAAATAAATTTTGTTTTATATAAATTTAACAATTGAGAAGTTTTATTTGCTTTTTGACTTCTTTTTTGTAGGTTCATTAGAACAGTATATGAAGATATATGATAGACCTTAACTTTGGCTGCTAAACGAAATATTGAAATTACAAAATACTTTAAGAAATTTATATTTTTGAATATTTAATTAATGCAGGTCGAGACCAACTGGTCTATCGATCAAGTCATTGGGTTATTTTTAATAGACGACGTTTCGTGATGATGGTTAAGATAACGATGAAAATCAGACTTATCAACAAATAAGAAAGAAAATAAATTAATAGAATGAAATGTCCAGTCATAATTTCATCATCTAGTCTAAGAGGGCAATCAGGTAAGGTAACTACACAATTAAAATAATCGTACCCATATCAGCGTTACATTAGGTTCAGAATTTCATTTGAACTTCTATAATTTCAGGTATCCTGAAGCCTGAAATTTCAACACTGTTACATATTACATAAATTACGTTTGGAATATTTAGGTGCAGTGCTGGCAATTTACGGATTGTTGAGTTGTATATTTTTAGAAGAATGAAAGATTCTGTCCAGACAGTTTGATCGTTCTTGCCTTCCAGGGTGGGAAGAAAATCTAAATTGGTTTTTGACTCAAAAAGACTCGTCATACGTTGCATCAACAGCCTATAAGTGCTAAGCAGAAGCCTCTTCTCACACAAAGAAGGTTTGGGCGTTATTTGCTGTTCTTTCTCTAAGGAGATTGGCGATTTCCGACTTATGATTAGAAATTTTAAGTTCAGTTTTCCTCACGATGTTTTTCCTTCACCGTATGTCTGTAGTGTCTAAATAAGTATAATGTATATAACTCGGAAAAAGTTACAATGATACTTGCGAGGTTTCAAGCCCGCTCTCTCATGCATGAAAAGCGGGCGCCTTTTACCTCCGGGTCACTACGACAGACAGAGAAAAAGGCTCAATGCCTATAGATAATCGGAAAAGTAAAAACTCCCAATAATTTAAAACAGAGAGTTCAAACAACGAGACAGTCTAATAATCAATATACGAATCTACAACCTAATTTATATGTACCTATATGTAAAACTCATTACGTGAAATGAACGAACCAAGTTATTATCGTTTAGTAATTACTGATCACTGGTATAGGGGTGTTTTAATTAAGGAATGTCGCGATCAAATTAATTCGATTCCGGTAATGTAACGCCATTTTAGGGGCCTGTGACCCCATGATATAGATTAGGGACCATGTTTGCGTTCGAATTTAATGGAACCGCAAATGTTTCTATCGAGACCAGGAGATGAAGGTAGCTTATTCGCGTAATGGCTTTTCTTAAGAATCATGAAGCACTATGAGTGTAAACTGTATGGAAATTAATTCAGCCGGGGTTGCGGGGTAAGCGCAATGAGGCACCGCGACCTCGGCCCGGAGCAGGAGAAGGAACAGGGGGTTTTTAGTCAGTAAGAGTCTGACACTCCCTCGCGCCCAGGGCAGAGCGGGAGAATTCATGTGATGATTTTCCCCTCATAAAAAAATGGAAATTATTTAAGTAGTTTTTTATTCGTTGTGAATGAAAATGAAACACCAATGCGACGGTTCGCAAGTGTAATCACGGAGGAAAAAGTATCGGATTTAACAGTCAGGTTTGGCAATAGCTAAATTGATTTTTTTATTTCATATATGAAAAATATCTCAGTAATATGTTGGTACGGATGATTTGAATCTGTTTTATGTGTTACATCTTAATTTGAATCTGTTTTTTTTGATAATGGCCTAGTCAACGATCGGAAAAAAATATTAAATTAAAAATATTTTGTTTTATATTGAAAATAGTCTACTTTTTTATAGTAACTAGTAAGTATCATTAGCTTTCGGATAAACCCGCTGCTCAGCTACAGTTGTTAAAAAGGAATGGTTAAATTCGAACGAGTAGTTCCATAGCTTAGCGCATTCAAACAAACAAAATTTTAATGTCTTCAACTTTATGATATTATTATCCGAGGTTGCGCGGCGGGAAAGTCATTCGATGATTTTCTCCTCACAAAAATTACAGATATATTTACATATTTGTGCGCTACAAAAAATACAATACTACCAATCAAGTTGTTCATTTCATTAATTACAATTGAATGATACTCTCTTTTTACTATAAGGCTTTTGGAAATGATTGAAGGTACTTTATAACCAAAATACGTCTGAAATATGAAACGAACTGGTATAGTGTGTGCAACGTCAGGATATGCAAGTGCAGTGATATTATATCGAACAGTTATGTCACCAGTGCTGTGTGGCACCACTATAAGGTATAGAGTAGTGTGAGGAAAGAAATTGATAGAGAGTTTTCTTTAAGATTTACGCTTAGTGAAGTCTTCGCCTTATATAATAATGATGTCTCAGTTAATGTATAAACTGTATAAATTAGAGATAAAATTAACTTTGTTTTATTTTTTATTATTTATAGTGAAGATGTTATTTTTATTCATATGTCTTTTACTGGGTAGCATGGTTATCGCATAAGAAGGCGAGATGTGATCATTAAAAAAAATCTCTTACCGTGTTTGAAGAACATAGGATAGGAAAAATGTGTAATATTTTCTTTTCTTAGGTATAGGTATTATTATTAGTATTAGGTAATAATTTGTAGGGAACTGAGAGGAAAGTACCCTAATTTAGAAGGATGGTCCTACAACCTTGCAGGTACACCACCTACACCTGGTCAAGCCTGGCAGGGTACTGTTGACCATCTCCAACTCTTTGATCTATGCTTAACTATGCGCAGCTTCACTTATAAGCGATGCATGAGTTGATATCAGACATCACTTGTTTATATTACTATCTTACTAATATTATAAATGCGAAAGTTACGATGTTTGGATGTTTGTTACTCAATCACGCTTAAATGGCTGGACCGATCTGTATGAAATTTGGCACAGGAATAGGTTTCACTCCGGAATAGGCCATAGGTTACTTTTTATCAACATACCACGCCAGCAAAGCCGAGAGCGGAAGCTAGTAATATTATAAACTCGAAAGTTACAATGTTTGGATGTTTGTTACTCAATCACGCCAAAACGGCTGGACCGATCTGGATGAAATTTGGCACAGGCATAGGTTTCACTCCGGAATAGGCCATCGGATAGTTTATATCAACATACTACGCAGGCAAAGACGCGGGCGGAAGCTAGTGGTTAATAAATTAAGGTTGCTATTTTAAAATCATCATAGCTACCTCTGTCTACGAGATTACTCTGTAAGATCTTGCTACAAAGCGGCGACCCGCCACATACAATATCCACTAACTCCTATAGGTTAGTGCTATTGTAATATTTTGTTTTGTATACCACATGTAGTTGTAATATTAAATTCAGTTACGTAATTGAAAGGGATTTATGCTCGTAGCACGCCTTTAAATTTTGATGATTTGAAGCGGGTTTTAAGAACTGTTTGTTGCATGTAGTTTGGAAAAAATCATCTCAATTAAGCCTTATTTTTCAATGGTCAAATAAAAGTTACCTAGGGAATCATTATGATGTTGTCGCGTCAGAATATTTGTATAAGACAGTGATAGCAACAATTTTATTCCTCAGATAACACTCATCTGACTCTTCAAAAATCAGCCCTTAACGAAATAAAATGCAAAACAACTGGACGGAGCACCTGATGGTAAGCGATTAGCGCTTCCCGTGACTTCACGTAATAGGTGCGGCGGTGGGGGAACATAAGAGGAGACCCAAGTGCGTTACGTATGTTCTCTTAGAAATAATATGCTTGAAGGTCTTCCTTGAAATTGTACCACTTACTTGTCTTAACATTATTTTACGTTATTTAGTTTAGTTTTTCTTAAATACCTAAGCACAGGCGTTTTATAAAAAAGGCTTTCAATTTTCATTACTGACGTTTCGAATCATAGAGCTTAGTTTAGTTAGGAACTAGCCCACTAGCTAGCAATTAAAGAAATTTCACTAAGAATTATAAACAAATTTGTAAATTTCAAAAATTATTTCTCATTATGCCATCATATCTGGTCCTATTAAGTGCTTATAGTCTCTCTACTTACTAGAAAGTACTAGAAGATATTTCAAATTCGACGATAAAGAAAAATTGTGCAGAAAAAATTCGCTGACACCCATAAAATTGGTTCATTCTTCCCCAATTTACCAGATCATCGTTTTGCCATCGCATCGTAAACAGCCTTCCCCCACTTGAATTGAAAGATAAGGAACTGAACCTCATACTTTTTCACCCCTGCTTCGAATACTTACTAATTGAAATGAATGTGACGGTTTCCATAGATGATATCGAAGATTTGTAAGTCAGGAAAATCGGGGGAGATGTTTTGACAACAGGTGTGTATGTAAGTTTCGGAAATCAGGTACAAAAATGTAGAGAGTTCTCGTTTTTTATAGTTTAGTTTAGTAATATTTTTTTAATGGGGAAGCGATTGCTTTCTTCCAATAAGAGATGAAAAATGGATAACCATGATTCTATAATCATGGTTTTTTTTTACATTGCGTATATATAGTAAAACGACTGCTCGCGTAGAAATGTGATTTTTTAACATCTTATATCATACTAAAGGAGTTATAGCATTTTTACTTGTGTTTTTGGTTTGTTTTTGGTGGATAAAAAACTTTAGAATTGTCTAAAAGCAAGAACCATTTTTA